TACTAGAATATTATGAAATTTGAAAAATACCAGTAAATGTATACCCCCTCTCCTTTGTTTGCAACAAAAGTAATTATCTGTTGTTTTTTACTCTGCCTTGTGTTCCAACTTACCTGTGTTTCGTGTGTCATCACTTTTGTCACTGGAAGTTGGCATGTCATTTCGTCGGGGAGGGACAGGGGCAGGTCGGGCTGGGGTTCGTTTCAGTGGTCTTGGGGGTAGATGCTGGTGCCCGTCCACCACTGTTGGTTTGTTGAAGTCGATCAGCGTGCTCACCCTCATGCTGGTGGTGAGCGGACGGTCCGGGTCAGGACTACGGGCAAAGACGTCCTCCCCTTCCGAGTCCTCGTTGGACACGTTGCCATTGTGCATCTTCCGCAGGAAGTCCAGGTTCTCGTAGATGCCCTCAATGTCCTCATCGGAGCTGTCATCATGGAGGGCGGCCAGGGTGGGTCTGTTGTCATACAGCGGCTTGTGCATCGCCTCTTCCCTCCTGTCCTCGTCACCCCCGGGGCATCTTGCCTCATCCCCCTCGTCCGTTTCATCAGTCTCCATCTCCATTGAGCCCCGTGGAGTGTCTAGGCTCCCCTTGTCCATCACCACATCGGTGTCGTCATCTGTGTCCAGACCCATCTCTGACTCCTCCGAGCCTGTGGACCGGGCATCCAGGCCCTCGCTGGCCCGGTGGTAGCGGTTGATCTCCTTCTTCAGCCACTCCTGGCAGAACTTCTCCAGCTTGAGTTCATGTCGGAGCTTGTGGATGCGTGACGCGTTCTCCCTCAGGTCTTCCTCCAGATTGGCCAGGATCTCAGTGTCCACTTCGCTGAAGCCGGCAGCAGTGGATTCATCAGGGCTCTTCGTGGCACTCTGAGGGGTTTCTATTTTAAGGAAGTGCATCTCGGGAACCTCCAGTTCACCAAAGTTCTCCTTCCAATCAAATGTGAACTGTTCCTGGATGGTCACATTGACCGTCTCTGGACACAAAAATCCACAAACATGCCAATTTGTAAGTAATTAGAAAGAAAATATACACACGTAAGTAAAGTTCTACTAAAAGAACAGTAAGAAGTAAAAAATGAGAGAAAGGAATTTTCATTGAGAATCTAACTTATCTAAATGTGTGGCACATACCTTAGCTTGTAAACTACTTGTACTTGAGCGAAACTTTGTGGGAATTGACAATGGCTTTGTACATGAATAAAGGGTGAAAATGTATTAACCGTTTACAGTATGGATGTACATGTACATCCATACAACTTTTGGGGTTGTGACACTTGCAGATTGAAAGACTTTTAAAGTGTCCAGGTTTTGGACATTTCCACCTTTTTTTTTAGAAGTGCATGCCCTCTTCTGTTATGAGTTTTTTCTTTTCTAATGCAACGCCTTTGGTGGAAGTAACTTGAATGTTGAGGAACATTTGGAAGAAGAAGTTATGCCAAGTCCCCAAAACATGATAAATATTTGGGAAAGTCTTACTTTTATCATGTTCAGGCTTGGTTTGTGGCACCTCTCTTTCCTTTGCTCAGTATGGGGAATCACTCGCCCCATTTCAATACGGGCGATTCACAATAGTGCGCCCCCAAGAGTTTGCAACACATTGGCCAATAACAACGCCCGGAATTTGTCGACCCTTTCCAAATGTGCATCGGGTTGACAAATTTCACGCATTAATTGTGATTGGCCAACACGTTGCAAAGTCTTGGGGGTGCACTGTTGTGAATCGCCCGTATTGACAAGAAAAGTTTAACTTTCTACATCCTTCACAAATTAAGAATAGTGTGAGCATAACAAAACTGCTGAGGATCCAAAGGTGACTTTGGACTGACACAAGCACTGTAAGTATGGTAAGAAGGCTTAGATGTTATATGTAAAGAGATAAGCTGAACTAACCACTTAATATTAGATGAATGGATTCTAAAGCTACGCGTACAATGTAGTTAAAATTGCTCTGTTTGGAACTCCTTACTGGAGTAAACCTTGCCTTCTGAGCAAACTTCCTGACTTCTGGGCCAAATCAGCAGTCTGCTATGAGACAACATGTTCTTTTAAACCTTCTTCAGGGTATTAAAAGTATTAACCTGCTATAATGTCTATAAATGGGAATTTCTTGTAGTCTAAAACTTGTGGCTGAAATAATTAAAAGAAATACATTGCTACAGGACATCTGGCGATCATGAAAATCCTCACTTATACTAACAGACCTCTTTTTAAATAACACTGTACATAAACTATGTCTTTTAACTGTCCGAACTGGTAAGAATGACCGTGCAGGAAGGAATCGCAAAGTCCTAGTCCTATACAAAATTAATTAAATCACCATAAATGTATCAACACTATCAATCCTTCATTCGAGGCCAAATTTTGCAAACTATTTTGTAAGATCCCGGAGGAACAAAACGGATAAAGTTATCAAACATAAAGACAGTTTAACGTCAACAAGTTCAACAGTTTTGCGTGAAAAAAAACTTGAGTAGGATATTTACCGTGCGGCGTTATCCGGCGAGAGTGACCAACAGGCATTTTGACGTCGCGGTCTGCCGATACAGTTATAATAACGTTAGACTAAGAGAGAAGTTTTATCAGTCAACGGAGTACCACTCGTACAAACTGTATTCCACACGCAAACTTCTGGTCAAATCATATTTTTAGCACTTAATTGTGTGTTCTTAGTCTGATTTGATCGACAGCTATCACAGCACGCTGCTCTGTCTTTTTTCGGAGACAAAATCCACTGTATTTTCAGCAAAGTTCTGGTTTCGGTCGACCGCACTGATTCTCTTCCGTACGGCCGGCGTCCCGTATCAACGACGTGAAAACTCTCAATGTTCGTGTTGTCGTCTGCACACTATTGTTATTCACATTGGGCTGGAATATAAGCTGGTTCCATTACACCACGAGGGATGTTCGCTTCAGATTACTCAAAGAAGAAATAAAAAGACGAAATAATTCGTAAGAAAACTGTATCATTAACTTAAATCATAGAGTTACTTTCTATTTCATATATTCCACACAACTATCAGAAACTTATTAATTTTGGAGGTTGTGGGTGTACATCTCCCCTGTAAGAAATGGAATGATCGTTACGTCATAATACTGGACGGGAGATAGGGAGAAACCAGATTGCACCTGTTGCGGAGCAATCCACCCAACTGAACAGGCCGCGCCAGGAGAGGGGGCAATTGCCTCGGGCGCGTGGAGCTGCGGCTGGAGGTAACACACTTGTCAATGTGGAAGTAGCCGCAGCCGTTAAACAGTGGCTACTATGGGCACATCGCGAACTCATGCATCATACGTCGATACGCCGGCATTCTTGGAAAACGCTGACCCTGTTTTATAGTCAGGGTGGGCCAGTTTCGAGTCAACTCGTGGATGAATTATGCAGGGTAACGTGCTGACTTGCTTTGGACCTTTTTCTAAGCATTCGGTCAAAAATTTTTGAGCAACTCACAGTTCATCATCTTAATGGTCTCAGAGAACACAACGCAAAAGACAATGGATTTAGAGGCGGACATGGGGAATGGTGACAAAGAGGCGAAAAAAATAAGAAATTTACACACAAACCCCGAATCGACGTCTTAACTGTAAAGCTTTCCAGTGAGGCGCGCGAGAACACAGACCAACTGGCGGTTTTGGGCCTACCCTCAGTGCCCGGCAAAACCAAACTAAAAACGTGTGAGGCTCATTGATAGAGTCCATGTGATGCCTGCTTGGGACAATTTCCAACTTCTGGTTACGCGTGGTTCGTCTGGAATATTGCCGAGGATGAGATGATAACAACTGGTAAAGATATCGACAGTGCAGCCATTTCTCTTATTAAATTCAGTTGATTTTATTGTTTTCGTTCGACGCTTTCTGCATTTGCACCTTAACTTTTATATACAATCTCAGAGTTTTGGTCGTTCTCAATTATGTACACTGTTTTAAAATTTACATTTTGGCTGGACATACATTGTTACTTTACATATTGATAAGACATTGATTAGGAAACAAAAATTCGGAGTTATCCGAATGGCAATTAAATGGACAATATGTACATGATAATAAAGTTGTATTTAGCTGCGAACTCCTTCAAAGAAACAATCAAAGCAAATTTTACACTGCAGCTTAACGACTGGAGAGATTACCACACTACAATGCCCCCAAAATCCCTTTTCTTTTCCACATTGGAAAAACAAACTCCCCTTAGAAAAAAATGGGGAAAATGAAAATCAACTTTTGACAATAATTTATCCTTCAACAAACATATATAAACATTATGTACATGAAAACAAAACCTACACATGTACGTTTTGTACCAGTCTGTGTGACAGTAACAGCTTCCACACATAATTAAAAATAAATACAGTAAATAAATACAATAAATGACAAATAAATGTAACTTGCATCCACATTCTAGTTACACACGATAACAAAATGACATACACCTGCCATTTGACACAAGACCTACGTTCTCTGAAAATCAACACTGCTGGTAACTGCAACAACGCAGCAGTCAACATGAAGGCCGCCTTTCTGAAAGTACACCATTCTGCCCTTTCTGTAACCCGCACTGGTTTACCATGTTTCACTCCAGTACACTTTCAAAGGCAATTCTTCTTAACTTTAGCATACGGATACGAAGTATCCTGAAAACATGTTTCTGAAAAGGCGTCGTAAAATACTGTATTTTATCAGCTAATACACATTCCTTGTAAAACTACAAGTGCAGCTGATGGCATATTATGTAAGATGGTAACAGACCACATTGCAGACACAAATAAATAGCACGAGTACCAGCCACAAATACTCTGCAGAACCGACATCAGCTGACTCACTCACCCACGCTGTTCACCTTATATTTACAAGTCTGCTTTGGCAAGTTAAGAAAAAGAAAAAAAAAATGGGGGGGGGGGGAAATTATCCAAGTCTCCCAGTCCCAGAATTCACACACATGGAATACAAAATAGACCGCCATGTATCAGCACACAGTGTCCTTGCACAACATCAGCAGGTCTGGCCGTTTCCCCCCCGCTCTCTCCTCGCATCCAAGAGGATAGGGTGAGAATAATTTAAAAAAAATACAAAATAAACTTGAAGGAATATTAGGACAAATCCTCACCTTCAAACGTATGACAGTAAGTATTCAGCTTCGTTTCCACGCACCAAAAAAAAGTCTGAAATTCAACCCAAATAGCTCCTTTAAAGGCGGATCACAGTCACCAGTTGCCTTTTGAAAGTGCCTCAAGACAATTATATGGGTGGCACATTGAAGAAACTATCTGTCTTCAGGAAAAAGAAGAGAGATCTGTTAAATATCACCAATGTACATAATTCTGACAGGCTCACTACATAGACTGTAAATCAACACCTGCCGTGTGTTTAACTATTCATGTGCTTGTCAAATAGTTTAGTGGGCAGAGTGCATGACAAGAAATCAAGAGGTCTTTGGTTCAAGTCCAGACACAGTCAATTTTGTTGTCACTTAAATACAGCAGTTTGCAATGGCAAACTCACACCCACGAGTGCTTGGCTTGAGGAAGCTCATTTTGAATTGCATCCTACTCTAACTGCAAAAATTCTCAAGTGTTATCAAGCACCTCTGTGCCACACTGGAGTCCACAAATATTGAGCATCAAAGGCCCATGACTAGGCAGCTTGGCAGATTTCCTTTCAGATGCAAAGACAGCTGACAAAGACACATGAAGACAGCTTAATGTTCCCACTATCCAACATAACAACCAGCTCATTTCTGTAGTCTAGAAAAAATGCTATTTAATCGAAGCAACAATGGTGTTCTATGCTTCACAACTAATAAGGTTGTGTCAAGTGTGGGATTCTAAATCACTTAACATATCACTTGATAAGAAGCGACATGAGAACTGTGAAATAATGATTAAGTCGGATATCATGGCTGATGACACTGACACCTTCATGGCAACAAACAGCATCGGTGTCAGCTGCCTTGCTGAACACATGCTCTGATCACAGGTTGGTTAACACTCGATGTGAGAGCGAGTACGGACACAAAACGGTGACAGCAGATCGGTATTCGTGCTGTCAATTGGCAAAGTTGAACTTGTTTCAATTCAAATGAATTTTGCTGCAAACGTTTTGTGCCGTCAACCTCTCTTCACTTTCATACTCGCTTGACGTATGAACCGGCCTTACAGAGGGCCAGGAGTGACGGAAGGGATTTCATCTCGGTGCACAACTTCCACATTTCTGCGTGCATGCTCTTTTGGCGTACAGATGAACTCTGGATGAAATGAGCTTGGCAAAAAAAATGAGGTTGGCGGCCAAAACGACGTCAAGACCAACACTACACAAGATAATTGATTTGCAGCTGAAATGCTTGGATTAGCAAATAAATATTGGCAAACACCTGGCGTTTCTTCCTAGTTCAGTCCACAGCAGCTCCAAAACATCAGCCCCACGTCTCGGGCAATTGAGCGTCCAACAGGTGAACTCTACACCTGCTAAGCAGAGATCCTGTGATGATCTGGATTTCTCAGCAGCAAGTGTTTGTGTCTTGGCTACCAGTATTCCTCTACCAAACACATTTTGTTTTGTTCCGTTGGCTCACGAAGCGGCTAGTGAGGCTAAGGCAGGGCTAGACTGTCTTTCCAGATGGTGGATTCTTTGATCGAGGAGTAGTTTGTCTGTGGAAAGAAACGTTTTTTAAAGCACTGAAGATTATTTCTATCACTTGAAAAGAAAATTGTTGTCATTTGTTAGCCAATTCTTAATAACCAAAAGGAAACTGTCATTACATCAATCAATGTTAGGAATTGCCCTCCCACAAGAAAGTCATCCTTGCCCCTGAAACAACCTGAAACTCACTTATTTCTACAACCCTTAAGGATACAGTTAGGATCCAAGATTAAAAATACATATAAGAAACATGAACAAAGCAGTCATATCCAAGTTTAGCTGAATGAGACTGTTTTTTAACTTAATGTCTGGATTACTTTAACAGATTCAAAAACAAGGAAGAACCTGCGCACTCACATTTCAGAAGCAGATCCCTATCGCTGTCGGACGTTGCCTGGAGGCATAGTCCGTGCAGTAGCCATTGGGCTGTGTGGTAACGGCTAGCACACTGCACACAGTAAGGAAAAAAGTCAACAGAAAATAACATAAAAAAGTTAAATCATTCCCTGGCACTGCGAAGCCCAGTGTGTAAGCTGTTGACTGAAGAAGTTACACAAAATAACTATTATTTCAAAACAATTACATTAACTTTTGATCTAGATGTGGGCTTATGTTTTAATTTTTCAAATGTTGGGTCCAACTTAAGCGGTGGGCTTAATATCCTTACATCCTTGATAGGCCACAACCCACCCTCCTGATGGCTTCTGAGGGATGTTGAAGGGTTAGGCTTAGCCCTAAATGACCAGAATCCTGCCCTCACAGTAAAATATTGGCTGCCCCTTGCAACTTTGCCTCTCTGTTGGCCCGTGTGCACTTAACACATGCCAATGGGAAAAGTTAATCTTTTAGGCTGACCTGTCTTGGAAAATTATCATTCCACAAGAACAATATTTTCATAAAAATGAGTGTCAAATTGATTGCAGGACATTTCTGGGAAAACTCCTGAAGGCTCCTGAAATAATAGAAAGAATACCAGCGATATAGGAAGTAACGTCAAGGTGGCCCACCCTGCCCCTGGGATCTTTCATCCCCAGACTCTCCCTAGGGCAATTCCCCCCTCGGCTCATGTAGGAACTAATACAAGGCCTCCATCATCATCAATCATGCACCTCTTGCGGGTTGCCAAACAGCTCCTCTAGCCCGGTACTCTGGCACAGCTCCACTGCATAGTTGTACATGAGCTTGTCAGCGGTGATCTTATCTCTCTCCACGACACGGGACCGGCTCATGCTCCTGTCGTACAGAGAGTGGCACCGGCTGAGGCAGTGGTGGTACCGGTCATTTAGGACTGTGACAACTGCGACAAAAATGGTCAATGTTGATTGGGTTTGCTGAAACTGATAATTTTAGGTTCAGTCTTAAAACCAGGATGCAATGGATCAAGTTTCACACCCTAGGTTCCATCATGTGGATATCCCGTGGTCTGATAGTTTCTGGCTAAATATACGGTCTTTGAATGATTAAAGGGTTAATGACAGCAAGCAATAACACGGGATCAATGGATAATTAGAAAGTGCACATATTGAGTAGTGCACTAGTGCTCAAAGCAGTAGGCACTGCATCACTGTCACTGCTCATCACCAGGCACATGTAAGCATTTCTAAACACCAACTCAGCTCCCTGGGGAGCATACAGTTCAATGCTGCCATCTTGCAGTAAGAATGGCTGATCAAGCACAAGAACCATCTCTGCCATCACAGGCACCCGTTTGCATTCCTGGGTGGAGAGAGGCAAGTGGGAGTGAAGTGGCTTGCCCAACGCCACAAAATACACACCCATCACTGGGTTCAATTCCAAAACATCTGTGCCCAGGAGGTGTCAAGTTTCTCTACGCAGGGAATGATGAGCTGGCGTCCTAGTGATTTAATACAGCTCTCTATGTGTGTGGTCCAGGACTTCTCCAAGTACAGGATGCAAGGGTGAAGAGGACGAAGACATTTCTGCCAGTGACTTTCCCCCATAAATTAACCAACTCAACCCATCCACTTACCGTTGCGGACCGCGTTTGAAGGTTTCAATCTCTCGGCAAGGATTTCCGATTTGGCCATTTCCAAGGCAGCTGACATTAGCTCCAAACCTCGTGCATACAGCACCAGCTGCTCGGCTCTCCTGTGAATGAAACAATATAATTGAACACACAATACATTTAGAGTGACGTGATGTGAGTGATTAAGGCAGAGTTTTGTCTCGGTACATTAACAATACTGTTCTTAAATTTTCAAAAGAAAAAAAAAAAGATTCCCTTCAGGTCAGTTCAAAGATTTTACTAAAATCCTACTACAAAATCTGCCAAAAATTCAGCCTGAAACTGGGACTCGAGTTTTGAGAGGTGAAAAATGAGGAGTGATTTTGGTTTTCCGTTCTTCTGGGAGATTGACCTCATCCTTTTCTCACCTGTAGCCTTCACTGACAAAACACACCTGGTCCCCCGTGCCTATGTCGGTATCCACACCATACATGGACTCAGCCAGTGGGTCACTACGTTGCTGGGCCACCTCTGTAATGGCATCTACAATGTGTAGGATGGTGTTCAGGCGTTCTACTGTTTCATTGTGTTCAGGCTGATCAAGATGGAAGAAAGAAAATAAAAATCAAGAAAATCAATTTTGAGGGAATTTAAAATGACTTCATTTTCAAATACCTTTCTGTGAAATGGGCTCAAACTTCCTCGGGAAGTTCTTTCCCAGGATGCACTCTCAGGATTTTATATACAAGAATTATAGCTGGACATGTGTGAAAGTTCTGTCATGGAACCAATAGTCACATCAGCAGAGGGAGATCTATGCAATGCAAGTCTTATTCAAATTATTTCAAGTTAGTCAGACGTCGATAGCAAGCAAGATCTTAACCCTAAACCCCCAAGGGTTGCTGGCCCTAACCTTCCCCATTCACACGAAGTTAAACACCCATAAAGGACTTTGTGCACAGAGGCTGTTGGACTTTGTTTTTCTGAGGTATGCCAAACCAAAACCCAATGCAAAAGCCAGCTGTTATGGGCCTACCAGACCTATCCCCACAGAATGAAACACTTTACTACTGTTTAATTCTGTGTGGTTGGGGAAGATTGGGGTTAAGCAACAGTCATGGTAAGAAGACAAACTTCAGAGATTCTTAGGCACAGCTCAAATTCCGTATTCCATTCTTTTTGATCAATCCTATTCAATTAATTTTTTTCTGCTCTTAACAGCAAGAACCCTGTCCTTGGAGATGTCTACGAATGAACATGTTCAACAAAATCTGAGCAAATTACCAACTTTGCTGCAAAAAGATTTTGGAATCAATCTTACACTGGCTTTTGCCCTTCAATGGCATAGCTGTTTGCTTCATATCAAGGTTACGTTAAAATTTTTGGTAACTAATCCAGGTTTAATATTCATGAAAAATAAGCCTGCATTGGTAAGCTTTAACATCTTCTTTTAGATGGCTTATGTCTCTAAACTAATCAAAACAGAAACTGACCCCTTAAAGGCACCTGTACAGAAAAGCCAATTTTGGAGAAAAAAATGTCAAACTTAATTGGAAATGATCACATTAGTTAGTGCCTATAAATTGTTCAAAGGGATAGGCAAGATCAACTTTAATCACCTCTAACAGGGTTTCTTCGGGCAGTTCAGGAGCAACAAACGTGATGGGGCCCATCATGTTGGGAGGGGATGCTGCGTAGGTGATGGAGCTCTGGCTACTGGGGGAGCCCTCTGACAGCAGGGCCGAGTTGCGTCGCGATGTGCTACCGATGTAGAACTTGGCATTGGTGGGCGGGCTGTTGGCCAGAACGGCTGGAATGGAAGCATGACAAGGAGGGATGTAGAAATAATAAGGTTCCAAATTTATGAATCAACGCATCGATGCAATCTCAAATGTCATCACTTGCAAATCTTTTTTCACTTAGAAAATGCGGAGATGCTCCACTTCAGAAGCCAAAGTTTGTAAATTAGGCCAGCCTGCAAAACCAGATATTTGCAACCAAATGCCGAGCAACCAAGCTTGACTTTATTGTCTGAAGCTTCAATGGAATATACCTGCCAGTCCCTCGATGCTCCCGGCGGGCGACTTGCCCAGGCTCTCAAAGGCAGCCTTGAGGGAGTACTGGTCCAGCCGGCCAGAGCTGGCACTACGGGGAAAGAAGCCCACCTCCTTGGGGGAACAGTCTTCCCCATCGTAGCCGCTGATAGCACCGGAGAAGGTCTTGTTGCGCTGGGACCTGGCGAAGGGGGCACTGAGGGGCTGATGGGAAGGAGGGAATGAGTCGAGAGTTAGGCTGTATTCAAAATCAAAGAGAAGCTTAGCAAATTAATCTGCTACACAAAAATCAGCTGGGACCCGGCCAAGAGAAGTACAGCACAGTTACCCACTCTTTAAAGCAAGTATTTTCCTTGCTTAGCAGCCCTTTGAAAATTTGGCCCCAGTACTCTGTGGGTACGGCCTTGCCACTGGTGCACTGTAGAGAAAAACCGTAGCCATGGACCACTATGATACCTTGGGACGGCTAAATTTTAAACAAAACCATGCAAATCCTGCTTCTATTTGGAGGAGTTAATGGGCAGTACTAAGAATAGCGCAATGCTCAACTATTACAGAGTTGTCACAAAAGAGCATGACAAAAGTAGCATTTTCAACCACTTGATGCTATAGGACGTGTAACCACACATAATTTTCCTTTCCTTATTTGTTCCACGGAGGACGTGTACACTGCTTTTTTTATTTCAGCAGATGACGTATTAACACGTCGTGCTTGGTTGGGTCAAAGCGCAATTGCAAGGTTGAAGAATTAATTAGCGGGTAAAAAAACATGCCCCCAGCAACAGCAGAAAATCTGACATTAACTGGCCATAGTACAATGTTGAAGATGGTAATTACAGAGCCTTCATGTGAATTGGAGCCAGTGAAAACAAATGTTTCAAATTAATTCAACTTCTGCTATGCAAGCCCCAGGAAATGAAAAGAACAAACTCTGTTTTTCGTGTTACTGCCATTACTTAGGCTTGGACCTGCTCTGAAACAATGAAGTCACTTCAAATGTTCTTACCGCTTCTAAAATGGTATCTTCTGTCCTCATGGGAGAGGTTGCCTTGTCTCCTCTCTTGGTGGGCGATCCCATTATTGTTGGGAGGGCGGATGGGTTGGTGAAAGCCAGAGGGGATATTCTCGCTGGCGAGGACACTGACGAATGGAAGGAAGAGACCTATTATTTGTGGGTGTCCGAGAATCCCGATCTCCCCTTTTAACACACTGGCAGAGTGTAGGATGCAAAAGGTGAAGTGGGTATCAGTTGGGGACCATTTCTGCCTCGGTTGGTTGATCGAGAGAATGGACACGGCTGTAATGCCCGAGTTAGAGGCAAGGGAATTATCACCATCCACTCTCCTGAGCCATTCTTGGGTGTTGGTTCACACACATATTTATTCCATTCATAAATATCTTTTCAGTCACAAAGTCCAAACAATTTTTAAAATAACAAATTTCCGACGAGATTGATCTCGGGGGAACCTGTTTCCCAGGCATTTTCAGGATTTTCCATGACTGTAGGAACTCAGGTTTTACTGCAGAGCCCTCTACGGTCAGAGGCAAACAACAACTCCATCTGGGCTTACATTTCCTCCTTGCGGGCGAGCCAGACCCCGGGTGCTTTATCGCGGGTGGGGACCACTTCTGAGCTGTGGCTCCCCCTTCTGCCGGAGGTGGGGAGTTGGAGCTAGCAGGGAGCCTGAACAGTGGTGGAGAAGGGGAGGCCTGTGGGCGACCAGAGACTCTATGGATGACTCCAGTACCTGGATGAAGTATGGTTTGGAAAGTCGTTATACGGATTTGGAGTTTGAACTGGGATTGAGAATTCTGCTGCGGCAGATGAGCAATAACACAAAAGATAACAAACTCTGAGCAACTCTAGACTCGGAAACAGTAATACAAAATTTGGCATCAAAGGCAATGACAAGTTAATTTAACAATCCAATAATCTGAAAAAAACCTTTTCCAAACCTGATAATCCTGATGAAGGGAGACTATTTGGGGAGGTCAATCCCACTGCTGCCACTGGACTTGGCAGTTTGCCAAACTGGAGTTGATGAACACCCTGAGTAAAAAAAACAGTAATTTCTACTCAAAAACGACTATCCAGAGGTTACTTCTGATGTCCCTCCATTTCAAATCTCACAAGATATTTTTTTCCAAGCTTAATACAATGTTTTAACACTTGGTAAGCATTAGTAATCATGATCATTTAAAGATGAAGATACAAATCAGCTCTGTTCTTCAGTGAACAATAAAACAAGTACTCAGTATCTGTACCAAGAAATACTGCAGGTTTCTCTGGCCACAAGTTTTGGGCCATTTTCCAATACTTAACTTCGTCTCCGTCTCAGGCTTCCTGTAGGAAACCAATCCCCAATTATGGGCTTGAAGCGTTCAACTGAAATTGAAGTACTGTAATGTTTGGCTCTTTTGCATCTTATTTGATGTTTTGTGGCACTATCAGACTTACTATTGCGCTTACAACCTCAAAGTCAGGAAGTAAAAAACAGTTGACGCCTAAGATGGAGCCCAAGTCGAGTATTGGAAAACGGCCTTGTAGTTGAGACCAGATAAGACCACCGCAAGACCTCACAGGACCATCACAAGACATCACAAGGCCACTACAGAACCTCAGCTGAACACCAAGCTATTCACATGAACTGCAACAGAAGTATTCCCATGTCACTTTTTCGCCCTTTTTAACTTGTGACAGGTTTGATGACTTGTCTTGTGTCAGTCTCAACTACAACCCCAATGATGGCTACCTGAGGGGAAGTCTTGGACGGGCTTGTTGCACTCTGGGGGCCTGAGGAAGGGGGCGTCATCTTGATGCCTGGCGGCTGGTGACGACTGGGACTCAGGCTGGACTGGCCTGGTGATCCCGCGGTTAGGGGAAGACTTGTGGGCCTGCAGAGGCAGCATGGAATCGAACAAAAAAGGAGGGCATTCAAAAAAAAAGACACTTCACTTTATTCTTAAGGAGAGGTGTAGAAAACTTCTCTCAGAAATTTAGGAGCACAGCTTGGACGTGAGATTGCTAGAGACAGAGATGAGATTCCTTGGTACTTTATTGGCAACAGTCATTCTCATTTCTTGAACAAAAATGCTACTGCTAATATGTTAATTAAACCTCCTAATTAGCAAACTTGCAAGTTGCCAAAATTTACCAGTGACAGTGCTGTGAGCTGTGACAGGATAGACTGCTCAATGGTTGCTGACTGTTTGAATACAATAGCTACATGTACAAAGACAAGTGACTCATGCATAGGATTACTTTCATTCAGTGTTAATGCATGGAAGACGTATCTACAATCTAATATCTGGCTCTACGGGAGAAGACACTACCAAAATGTTGATTCTTACAATCACCCAAACTTGCCCTGCCACAATTCCCTCTCACTGCAGGACAACAAATATGTCCTTTCGTAATGCATTTTTTTTTTCCACTGAAAAGATTGCTCCAACTGGACCTGTCGGCACTCCTACCCACCTCTCGCTTGGAGACTGGCTTCCGTCTGTGGGCGAGCGAGCCCCCGGTGCCTTGGTGGCATACAGGCCCATGGGAGTAGGAGGAGGGGGAGAGGGGAGGGAACTACGCCGGGAGGCCTGGGGAGGGTCACTGTGAAAAACCAAGCAGACCGAGTGAGAAAGTAGGGTTACTATCTGGGGCAAGATTTTGTAGAGTTTGCATGCCAAATACAGAAATCTGAGCACAGACAGAAAAGAGTCAACACTGTGCAACACTGCAGCATACCACAGGTGGAAAACACACTCAGACCACTTCCACTTCCCATAGGGTCGTGTAAGTTCAAGCTGTAATCAACAGCCTCGTAACTACCAGGTGAAGGCAAGTGTCAGAGCCACTTTTCAACGTCATGAGAGCTCCCCTTACATTCAACACTTGTGCATAACACAGAATGTTTTGAACACAACTGGTATATTCAATTTTGATGGGAGGGAATGCTCACCATCAAAATGCTGGCATTTGTGTGTGTTTTTTTTTTTTTCCCAGGGTACATAAACAGCCAAGGGAGGGAGCCTGGAGATGAGTGCCCACAGGTAAGAGTCCTGCCACCTGAAAGCGTGCTTTACAGAGGCTTTGCGTGGTAGCCATCTTGAAGAGCAGCTCTTTTGGTCCAAAGGGAAACCCTGTTTGTGCATACCCTATGAACAAAAGCACTGGCCCGCAAGATGGCAGAAATGCAAACCCTCTATAATCGAAATGTGGTCACCTACAGATGAAGCACAGGGACTTCAACTCTCATTGCAGCAAGATTGGGACTACCTTGCTATAAAATGAACCAATTTCATTGAAGGGCACGAAAAACAATGAAAAAGAAAAGTATTCAGCAGACTCTGAACTCCTGAATTTGCATTTCCCAACAGTAATCTTGTTTGTGAGAGTTCTTCACATCAAAGGCTGCCTGTAATGACTATGCCACGTTACACCTTCACATGTGTGTCCACAGTCTGTGATCTGTTGAAGCCTTTGATTTGAGCAAAATTCAATGTTGAAACAACAATGGACAATTTGCAGAATGGTAGATTTGAAGGCATTTCCTTGAAGTTTTTCACAAGTCTACACACAAGTCTGGCCAAAGCTTCCCGGCATTAACAACAGAAACTAGATTCACCAACACATGACGGTCAACTTGGCATGCAGGATTTGAGTACAACACTTGTCTACTTTGCATGATCAGAATCTTAAGTTGAGTAGACTTCTGTCTCCTCTCTCACCTGACTGATCTCTGACGATCCATCCGTCTATTCTTTGGTGACTGCTCAAAGCCTGTACCTGCAGAAGAGCATTATTTCATAAAATGTCAGAGAAGTTCAGGGATTGCTAACCAATGTCAGTCCAGGGATCTTGATCAGACTGACTCGACCAAAGTTCAGACACAACCCAAAGTGCGTATCACGTAATGACAAAGATGTACACGTATGGTACTTACACTGAAAGTGTGGTGAGACAAGCACAAAATCCTGCAGGAACAAAGTAGAACAAGTTACCAGCTAGAATCAGGATTTCTTGTTTGGAATGATTTGGGAGTCGCAGAATCACAAGCGATGCAGCTAATTCTAAAAAACTGGTAATTCTTGCGAGCTGGGTTTTCAGGGCTGTCATACTGCCAAGGAGGGGGATTTGAGCATCCCCCTACCATCTTGGCCATGAAACAACAGATTTGGTTGAAATTTGGTATGCATGTAAACTATACATGCAAGGCATACCTGAAATGTATTAGACAGCAGACCAAGACGTTGTGTATTGTTTTCATCGTCATTATTATCTCACACTGTGAGTGGACAATTTTCCCTGTGCATGATCAGTGAAATAGATCACTTGATACCCAACTTCAGGTTAAAAACTTGACACATGGAGAGAACGGCTGGCCGGAATTTTGTATCACTGGTATCAAAATGCACACAGTGTCATTTGTGAGAAATTATTGAAAGCTGAGCATGTGACCACTTCACAATCTAACGAGGACCTGTTGCCTTCAGAAAAAAATTGGCACATTCTATCTCACATCTCCCTTACCCCTTCTACGATCTCGTTATCCAGGGAGCTGATGCTCTGTGGCGTCCCGGCCCCGTACTTATCCGGCGAGCTGGACACGGTGCCACCTCCGCGGCTGGTGTCACTATGGGACGATGACGACCGGTGCTTCCTCGGCGCCTGGTCCTCGGGGGAGGAGATGGGCAGATTGCCTGACAGGGGTGAAACGGAGAGGGTGCGTCGCTCGGGGGAGTCGGCCACAAAGCTGTGCCTGCGACTGGGAACTGGCATAGGGGCGGCTAATGGGACGAAAAACAAAACTAAAAATTACTCAAGCTCTAGAACACAAGATTACGAGTGCGAAATACTTCTAAGTCAATTTTAAATAATATCTGGCGCCCCCACTTCCTAAATGGCACCTAACACTAATCTATGTCAACAGATCCTGTCTTTCTCTTTGACTGCAATCTCTTTATCGAAGGGGGTTAAGCCATTACAACATAACAGTTACTCGCTATTATTCATGGGGTAGCTACTGCACATAGAGGCCAGAACACACTTTTAAGATTTAAGCTGTCTGGGATGAGGCTCATTATGTGTTACGCAATACAGCAGCAGTGTGCATAACTGGGATATGTAAATTAGAACACATGGGAGTATCAAACAGTGGCTTGTCCCTGAGGAGCAACAGGATTGGAGCGCACTTACATGAGGTAGGTTGCACTTTCTTTCCAAGGAAGGGATGACTGAAGAATGCATCTGTAACAATTTCCACACAAAGTGAAGAACGGATTATTTAGTATATCACAGTGCTTTGGAAAGAATGAAGTGTATTCAAAGCTACATGTACGAATGGCCAAATCTTTTCTATTGCCTATCACAGTTACGCTTGCAATCCGTTTTGTTTTTGTGTAATTTACCAAATTCTATCCTGTCTTTCTGGTTTCGCTTTAGAAGCCGGACAAGCAGATCCTTCAATTCCTTAGAGGTGCCTTGAGGAATACTGAAAAACCAAACAAAAATGACACTTCGAACATCAAAATAATCCTTGAAGATATGTATACATTATTCAAGAACTTGCAGTTTATTCAACATGCTGCCAACAATAGTATGACATGCTAAATATGCATGAACATGGCGTACGCCAACATGCCAGTTTAGAATATTTTCACAGGGCGTTTCTACATAAATGCATCTGCAGACCACATCTTGAAATAAAGTGATGTTTTTTCGGTTCCACTGTTAGGGCTTCCAAATGCTCCAAAATCTTCACAAATCATTATAGTTCTTTGCAGACAAGACCAGAAATATGGGCTGGAGGGTTTTAAACTAACCACCCCCCCCAAAAAAATGTCGAGACTTGACATACTCAGGCAGCACATGCTTGGCTCGCTGGTAGAATTTCTTCAGCTCTGGGGGATTGGAAGCTTTGAACGGGGCAGACCCTGTCAGACACTGGAACAGGATGGTTCCCAGACTCCACAAATCAGCCTTGCCATCATACTGCAGGGACATGATGACCTCTGGAGCCTAAACAAGCAGAGAACAACCCATGTAAAGTTTATGGAAGATCACAGTAAAGGTTTACATACAAAGAAAGTTAGTGCATAAAATGACTTACTGGATAATACGGACGACTACACAATAAACAATGCGGTGAACCACTTTGGTATTTCATAACTTTAGGCCAAGTCTTTCCGCGACAAAACATGCATGTGAGTTGGCGTATGGCATACTGATAGGACAGATACTCGTGCATGCATGCTGCTATTCCTAAATAGCCTCGCACGCATTTCAGTTTGGGGCGTATGCTGAAAGAGTATCGAACTGGCTCACAGCAAATTAACGGCCGGGATCTGGCCAGGACACTTGACGTCAAACTGACATCAGCATTACTGCTTTCCCTGTGCAGATTACCGTTTGCGACGTTTCCTCAAGTAAAAAGGCCTTTTCGTGCAGTGAGAAATTTGCCGAGGTCTAACCAGCTTCCAGTAACAGCACTAACACGTCAGTTTCGGTATCTTCGTACCAACAAATGAACGGAAACACGTCAACTAAATCGAGGCTTTATTTGTTTTCTTTGACTTTTTCTGGATTTCATCTCCATTTTTGGAAGGGGCGGTCACGGTATGGAGGAATGAAATCCTTTCACACATTGTCAACTAATAACCCTATTCCAGTGGCTCTATATCCCGCCTCCCAATTCTGGGTAAATGAAGTGTTAAATTACACTAGCTCATCTGTCAATCCAAACGACATATGAATTCCTGTTTTCTGCCTTTGTTTTCCAACGCAAAGGTCAGTACATGGCTGCAAAACAGGAGGTGGTACATACAGGGGATTTCCTTCAACAGGAGAGTAAAAAACGAATTCAAAATCAATGTTGGTTACCATGTAGAGAGGCGAACCGCACAGTGTTGCGGCCATCATATCTTCCTCTAGGATCCTGGCAAATCCAAAATCAGCTGCAAAAAGAAGAAGGAGCCGTGAGGGAGTTCTCCCTGTGTGTGTGAACTTATTTAGAGGGGCGAATCCTTTACCTAGGACTGCACTGGCACTGCACTGCAAAGATATCCCGACGCTTCTGTTCATCCCCAGATGAAAAATTAACGTCTTTAAAGAGAATTCATGTACATGTAAATGGGTAAAATGTTCCTGAATTCCCTGACATCACTCATTCATTTTGAACTGCATACTTTGAAAATTGAGTCCTGAAGAATGTCTATCCTCCCCCCGAAAAAATAAAACAGGTGTCGAAATGTTATCAACTACCCCAGTCTTTCAGAATTGTGATTACAGTCAACAGACTGCTGTCTACAGACTTTTATGTAATGACTTCTGGGGGACGTCATACATGAATCAATATGATTTTCAAGTATTTCTTGTTGAATACATGACATGCAGCTTTTTCGTTCCATCCTCACTCAATCTGATTGCACCCACACCCACCTATCTTGATTCTGATGTCCGATGGAGGTGGGGTCTTCTTAGACTGGTGACTCAGCAACAGATTCTGAGGCTTGAGGTCTCGGTGTATAATGCCCTTATTGTGTAGAACCTCCATTGCCGCAGCTGCAAAGATCACAGAAACAGCATGATAACAAACAGAATTCACCTTGAAGCAGTGCATCTTTTAATCCTACTAATCCTCTCGTGTCTTTCTCCAAAATCCGCCCCGAGTTTGGAGAGGATTCTGCAGGGTTGAGGAAGGTAGAGCCCAGCCACTATTTCTTAACACAGCAGTTTATGGCCCCTTGAAATTTGATTTACAAAGGAATGTGGCACTGGTTTCCAATGTGGCATTAGTATATGAAGGGTTTATTTCCAAAAAAGAGACATATCCATTTTAAAAAAATGAATTTTTTTCATTATTATGAAAAATTGAAGAGCTTTAGCAGCATGTCACGTGTCTCTAAACTTCTTTTTCATGATTTTAACTTGGTAAAGTTGTGTTTAACTGTCTTAAATCTGTAGAAACTGACTGCAGACAACAGAGAGAGGGTAGGATTCTGAAACATACCAAAATGGTGCTTATCGCATTTTGGAAGTAAACTCTTCATATCCAGTAGTTTTCTTTGTTTTGAGGGGGAGGGGAAATATAGAAAATTTTCCTGACATTATTATCCAAATTTTCATCCCTAAGAGAACCCTTCCATACCAAACATGCCCACAGAAGGTGCTTATAGTGCTGTTTCAAAAGAGTTGGCGCTTTCACTCATGACCAAGAAAACTCCAAAACATCCCCAGGGGATCTCTTTTCACCTCTTGGTGGATTATTCCACTGCAGCATGGAGGATGATTTGAGAAGAGCCAGGAACCAGTAGGTTCCCTGATAAATGAAAACGGAATTAGGAAGTGCCTGATACTGTAAAAACTGATGTAAATTAGAAAACAATCAAATTTGATACCCCGTACCAAAACAAGAGCTGTTCCTGGAATCAGTCTAGATAGTGCCATACAAAATAACACAAAGAACATTGTCACATACCATTTTGCAGTATTTTTAAAATTTTAATTAATGATGAATGACATAAAAAGTATTTTGTTTTAATCATGAAGTTTTTGGTTGTGGTGTGTGTCACAAACGTATTATTTTGGCCAATTTTTAACCAACTATCCAATAGACTAGCAGGTATTCATAGGCCTAAACACACGAGAGCATGCCACTTTTTTCAAGCCTAGATACTTGAAAAGTAAATTTAAAAGGTAACACAAGTTTTGTTTGGCCTTGAATACTTCACGAAACATGTACCATGTTTATGAAATGTATGAAGTATAGAATGTAAAGAAATGAATTTCCAAGACAGAAACTAGCAAAATAATTAGAAAAATTACATCATTATGTTAACAAATTCCACGTGTCAGAATTAAAATAAAAATAACTCCAAGACATACACATGTCTGTACACGTATGTACCGCTACTGTGCTTTCGAAGTACGTACCTATTTGCCTCAGAAAGAATCGTATCGTGTCTTCACTAAGTGTGCCTTTGGCTGAAAGAACAAATGTAAAAACAACAGTCTTTGAATGACCATGTATCCACTCTGACCTTTATTTCAGGGACTAAAATACACGTACCTGTCCTTTTCACTGACTGTACTGTAATCACAGGTATGCTTTTTTCCCCCGAGTAAAAAACACCACCACCAACAAACTAATCTTCAGTCTATGCATAATGCATGTGTTGATGCCTCAAAAGTACCACGGTCAACAATTTAAAAGCAAGTTTGTTTGTATTATCCTGTGGTTAAAAAACAAGGTCGGACGTGCGGACTAAAAACAGTACCAGCATAAATATAAGCTTCAGATGTAAAAGTGCCGCTGTATTACAATGTTGAGTAAATGCATTACAGTAAATGAGGTTCCTGAATGAGGAATGCTTCAAACATGAGCTATGCACACATTCGGTATAACACAAGATTGAGTGATAAAATAGTGCCGTCTCACCGTGGAGATAGTCGGCCAAGTCACCACCATTACAGTACTCCATAACAAGGACCATTGATGTTGAGGTTTCCTGTAGAGAGAGGGGGGGGGGAACCCAATACATGTAATGACTCTCTTTATGAGTTTTGAATTCGGCATACTGTACATACCCGTACATGTACATGTACACATTCACAATGCATGGATGTGGATTTATGGTGCACAATTTTGTAAGTAATCCTCTTCAATTTAACTTCAATTCAGTAAAAGATTCATTTAGTTTTGTGAAGAGGACAGTAACACAGTATGTCAAGAGGATGAAGACTTATAATGTACCTGTACCTCCATAATGTGGATGGAGGTACGGTACATGTGCACACCGGTATGTACATGTACATGTACATGTCTGAACACCTGATTGATGCCCCAAACAAAATACCAGTAGAAAAATTGAGTACGAAATTAAACTCTGATAAGGGTTTAAATAAAAATAATAATTACAATATTGAAATGAAAAAGGTAGAGTTTAGTAACAATGGATGTGTAAAACCAAGAAGCAAATGTGCTTTTCATGATTCTGTGAGATATCACTATAACGTGCACTAAATGGGATCTCTGCCAAGAATCCCAGATGAAATTGTAATAATGCCAAGGATCATGCTGTGCGGCTATATGCCCATAAATGGCAATGTGTACACAGCGCTCAACCCTGTTTACAACAGGCTCCCCAAATTAGGGCCAGAACCTGATAACAGTGTACATGTACATGTACACATGTAATGGGATTGTCCACTGTAACATCTGGGCACAAACTAACAAAGGTAAACAGTATGAACATGACATGATACACACACCAAATTGAAAGTTGGTTCATCTTAAAAGTCAGCATTATTTGTACAAACTGCTATGTGTCTTCCATTAGCCCATGATTTAAATTGAAATAGTGTAAAAACTGTGCCCACCTTGTCGTCATGGCTCAGACTACATGTAATGTACAAATGAATGCATGTATCCCTCAAAAAGTCCTTTTAAAATTACCACAACTTACTCAACAATACCATATGGCTGAAATAAGCGTGTCTGTTTTTTTTTTTTGATGTATGAACACTTTTTGCTTTTAATACAATATTCCATCCAACTGTAAGGACCAAATACTCTTTTGGCCTTCAAACCATCACGTTTACTTCAATTTCTCAAAACCATCAAGTATGAACTGCAATCTAAACAAGGGCTAAAACCACCACTATTTACAATCAATATAACAACATCTGTGTCCTTGTATTTTGGAAGCATGCCAAGTCTTGTGGTGTATGAAAAATCTGTTGTGCAACCTGATCCACGTCACTTTGGCATACGTGGGTCAAACCACACTGTATGTAACGGTACATCATGTCCTTCACCCAGTGATTTGAGGTTCAATACCTGACCTTGTTTTCCCAGTAATCACCTGACTCTGTGGTACTAGTACTGTCACATGATCAAAACAACCAATTGACCTCTGGGATTTGGGGTCATTACTAAAGGCAGTTATGCAAAATCTATTAATTCAGGGGTCAAATAATATTCTTCAGGTGCTGAGCTCTCTTCAACAGAGTCACACAAAATGTGATGTTGACAGTTCAGCAACTGAGCAAGTCTACATGTAGAATTGCACTGCAGACAGCTTCATCAGTGTAGGCCTGGAGGTTTGCTTGGTAAAGGTGGAATGTAAAATTGGCACTATACATGTAGCTCTGTCATGAATCTGTGCAACATGCCAATGTAGAACACTTTCAGGAGGGGCTCTCTGCGAGTCGGCAGATATCCTTGGCAACTATGTGCATGTACATGTACATGTAGGCTACCGGTACATGTGCATTTTTCTTGCCAAACTGTAACCTCATGTGTAAAGTTGTTAGTGTGTACAATGTATTGATAAACAGAAATGTGTACCAAATCTGTCAACTGCAGATTACAAAAGTACAAGACAGAGTGCACATGTAGGTGTACTTGTACATATTGTCGGGTTCACCACAAAGTGACGTATAGGGTAGTTTTGGTGTACCACGGAGTAACATAACGTCCACAGACTCTGTACACACGGATATGTCAGTTCATGGTGAGGCAACTATTCATAATATGTCACTTTGTGGTGAAAATTATTATTACAGGTACATGTATGCACAATACGTGTTCAATGTACATGTACAGGTACATTAATTATTGTGACGTCCCAGGGGGAAGTGTTTATCATAAATTACTTGAGTCTCTATATTATTATTATCTTGTTTATGAGTGAGCCAAAGCCATTGTTTCAGCCAAGTCACCTGCTGTGTCAGTTATATGCTAATTATGGGGTTATTTAACTAGAGGAGTTCTTGCACTACTGGGACACAAAATTAATTATTGCATGGCTTGTAATGGTACACGTAAATTATGATACTTCAAACAAGAAAGGCTTTTTTTCTGAAGCAAGAAGGCTGGATTCTGAGATTTTTGATCACAACTCTGCTGTTTGGGCCTTTGTTTAGTTATCCCCATTTGCTCTTTTTCTTACAAAATGTTTGTATTTTTGTGTGTGTTTTTGCCACTGTTTCCTTTTGTCTGTACGCTTTTATCATTGTTGTAGTTTGCTCTTGCTCAGTGTTGGGCCTATGCTTTGTACATGTACAGTCGCCAATTGTGGATGTACATAGTAGTTGTGATAGTCTCAAGAGTGCAACTGATCGTTAAGTGTTCATGAATCCTGAGGCTGACGGATACGCAGTGGCGTCAAGCGTGGCCTACAGCCGCATGGCTTGACGTCATCAGTCCAATCAGGAAGGGGCCAATCCTAAGGAGGGGGGCGATGGTTAGAATCCATAAACCCCAAACATGACATTATGTTCAATTTCAGATTGTCTACCTGGATGGATATACATGTACCTGAACCCACACCAGGTTTAATGACACACCTTCTGCTTAGTGTTTGTTTAAATTCACCGCAATATGTGTTAGTGTCACATTTTAATCTTTCAGGACGCAAATATACACTTAGGCCAAGGAACTACCATTACATGGACATGTACTGAAAGTAGCAAGGTTGTAATTGATTCATACATTTTAAGCCTCAGCAACAAATACCTAAGACCACTGGGCTATGCCCACAGACCAAATTTTTTGTTTACAGTTCTAGATATACCAGTACCCACAAACAGGTAGCTGCAGTGCCTGTCTTGTGGAAGCTGTACTTTCAGGAAGCACTAGTGTAGCACTACCTACCATGTCCCAATGGCTAACAACAGAGTTAGAATTCTAAAGAAAAGCTTGGATTGGTATTCAACCTGGTCTGGCTCTGGGCCTTTTCTATTATGCCAGTCATCAACCCCCCCCTCATTTTCCTTTGCTAAACCATCCCAGGGTCTGGGGTGATGCAATGGCTATTTTAAGGACTGACTTCATGCATTTGATTCTATTCAGGATCCATGCAGAAGGTTAAGTCAGCAGGGCATGTGGCTGGTGCGTGTCAACCCTGTGGTTTTTGGTTGGTGAATTTGCATTTTAAAATTGACTTTGTTTGTGCAGGCCTGCATCAGAACTGTTCTTGATTATTCCCATCCCCAGGCAATGCATCATATCATCGCATTCATGTTTATTCACAACATCAAGGACAAATCCCAAGTAGAATCTTCAATAAAAACCTAGTTGAGTACTTGTTTAATACAGGCACTTTGACATACAGACCTGTACATGTACAAATGTACAGGTACATGTAGGTAGGTATACCGTCCACTACACTGTATGTGTCTGAAATACATATATGCCTAGCACTGTACATTACTGGGGCATAATACATACATGTAAATAAATTTGTAAAAAAGGTTGGTGTTAACATACATTGTAAACCATATAATTTTAGAAAAAGATTAGAGCAGAAAGTCTTCCTAATGTAACCATACCTGCCGTATATCCGCAAACCCTCTACCTTATCGTATTCCACCATGCAAACCTTCAAGAGCGACATACCTGATTAGACATGAGCTAATTCAAGAATGACATTTACTGGGCACACAACCCCAAGGTGTGTCCACATGCACCTGTTTGCATTGAATTTGGGCACAAAATTTTCCTTTGTGATTAAAGAGGAAGCTCCGGCTTTGAAAAAAAACGAAACGACCAGTACGGTGCCTTTTAAACTGCAACTCCGGCTGAACCTGTGCCAAAATGTGCATTGCAAATTTAGACATAAATATTACTCCACAGCATAGATCTACATGTAAGGTATATCAGTTGAATTTTGTCAAACAATTTCTCTGGCAGACACTTGTAAATCAGCAGAACAATGCTTGCAAATTTACTAGAAAATATTTTGCCTACATGTAGACTGTATAAAATGCTGTGATTTTATAGTGCCTTGAATCACTAGCCTGGAACGCGTGACAAGGAACAAACTTGGTTGGATTGAACTGTTGGAGCATGGCACTACGATTAAAGCAAACTGCATACATGTACATACATACATACATGTACTGTATGTGTGGACAGCTATATGCACTTTGTCTTCTAATCTGACCCCTTCAGGGTCCTGATGAAGGGACAAGAGAAGAAAAAAGCTGAATCAACTTGGCCCAAGCATCATGTTTACAGTGCATGACCAGTGGCTGAACTTATCCTGATGTCCAATGAAATCTTGATGTCAAATTTAAATGACAATGGAAGGTTTCATCAGCCCAATGGCATTATCAAGGGGACACATATTGGCCTGCAGACCCTAAGTGACCACGCATATTTATCATACAGCATAAATCATGTACAAAGTTATTCAATGTAAGTAATGTACATTATGGACAGCATGTATGCAATGATCACCCACACTGTACTCAATGCAGCCCGACCCCAAAATAAAAAAAAATTGACGTTAAGAGTAACCATTTCTTTCTATTGATAACATATACCGGTACATGTAACAGTTACAAAAATCTCTAAATGTACCTGTACGGACTTTTGTCATTTGCCACTTTCAACACGTTTTTGTTTGAGTGGGAGATGATTTAACCCAGTTGGAATGCAAATGAATGTTAATTATGCAAAGTTTAAACTCTGAATATATTCCAATCAAAGCTGATCTCATCTACATACTGTACAAGCATGTACAAAAAAAGCCAACTGAATGGAAAGCTTGCAACACACACATAAATGATTATTCCAGATTCCAGAAAGTGAGATGCTACTGCACAGGCAAGCACATACATGTACATGTACCAATGACATTTACCATCACATTCAAGAAGACGGTGCCCTGTCCCTCAGACAAGTGAATGCATGTCTAGACTATATTCATGAAAATCAACGTTCATGTGCAATGACGCAGGCAGTTTATCAAATGCTCTTCCTCAATCAACAGTTTCAAAAAAACAATGGAGACTTCAGGAACAACATCAGATGGGCTGTTTTTGGCCAACAACTTCCAGAAAAAAGAGACACGAACAATCTCAGAGGATTATAAATTCCATGAAAGGAATTCTGGCCACACAAGAGGCATACTGCCTGTAGTGCCTACTGACATAATACACAGCAGCCACATCACTCGTCAACACAAATCTACATGTAACTACACATGTAGACAAAAACTTGTGATTACAAACAGAGCAAGACATACCCTAAGCACAAATACATGCAGATGTACAGTACATGTGATGATCTTTCATCAACTGCAGTTTTATGAAACTGAGGTTTTCCACAAACTTGCACAGGAAATGACTAGTCTGGGGTAATTATGTCCTTGCAGCAAGCACAAATATTATTCCCCTAATGGATTACTACACATGTATCAAACCTACAAATAAAAGAACTGATAACATGCCACAGCTGTGTCATCTCCATCAAGTCCATTTTCTTACAGCCTGCTAGACTCAAGGGCAATTAGACAAGCACAGGAGCTACTTTTTTCAGGTGACAATGGTCATGTGGGAGGGGGCCACAAATTGACAGGTTGTTCAGCCAGATGTCAAGATACATTCCAGAACACAGCTTACCTTAAAATGGAGCAAGGACACAACATTTTCATGATGAAGATCCTGAAGAGAGGGACAAATAAGGAAAAAGAGAAGTAAAATTTAGCTAAGGACAAAGACCATCCAAGGTTTTACTTGCACTGGGCTCTTCCTATGCAGAAAAAAAGTTGTCAAGTACATGTACTATTTGACATGTACCCATACATATAGCTCAGGCTAAACCTGGACTTTGTCAGGTGTGAGCCACAAAGGAGAAAGTACAAATTTACCAACTGTTGTTGGGCAAGCCAAACTGCAGCATTACTATGGCTGGGACTGTTCCAACTATAATTGGCATGATGCCATAGTTGGGGCCTGACAAATTCCCCAGAAATGGTGACTACACTGTCAGTGACAAACCCTGTAACAACTTTGCTCTTTATTGTTTGCGGGACAAAGTATTATAACACAAAAGCAAGGTTGAACAGCTACACAAAGCCCAAAGATCTCAAGCGCATTGCACTCCTAAAAACAAAGTCTTAAACTGAAATGCAGAACTTTTTATAATGAACTACAATGGAATAACAGGCTTGGACTTTTGCCAGGTAGGATTTTTTTTCTTAGCTGTGACACCGCTCTGACAGGTAAACCAGGCCCATAATTACAGTCCAGTTGGTGGCACAGCGTACAACCACGAACAATCATGAATCTGAAACTAAAACCCATCACAAAATGGGGGAAGGAAAAGAAATAACCATTGGTCTGACAATCTTTCCAACACATCTTCCAATGCATATTTCAACTGTGATGGAACTTTTGCTTTCTGTGAATAACCCTGCCAATAAGCAGGTTCCTTGACCTCTATCATGTCTACTCAAAGTTCTGGGTCTGCTTCTGACTAGACACAGGCACGTCTACAAATCAATGTGCTCCTGGGACTGACCTGGGAATCAGGCAATGGACTTGGAAAGGAGCCGAACTTTTAAAATGCAGACCTATGATTCTAGACTTTTGCTGTATCCTACAGTTTTCTGTGGTAAATTTAAAAAACAAACAATTTATATCATAGCCCTTTTCCAATGCCCACATGCACCAAAATTGATATTTCTATGGAGAAAATAAACCAAAATCAAAAGTATCAGGATTTTTGTCCAGGAAAAAAAGCAACATGACTATTCATTATGTAATAATATGATCATTATCACACCTACTCACAAATACTTCCACAGAAAGAAAAATCAAGTAAACATTCTAAAGCGGACACACAGGCCTACATGAACATGTACCAGTATACGATTTAAATATCTCACCTTCAAGATCTCAATTTCCTTTTCTGGTAAGCTCTGAGACTTGGAGAGATTCTTTTTGTTGATACACTTGATCGCCACAATCTCATCTGGTTTCTGCAAAATCAATTTTTTTCCATCCGTGTCAAGATCCTATTTACTGACACTGGGAAAACATTTTTGAACAGAAGTCTGGACATGATGCAGTTTCCAATTTCTTCTTTTGATTACCACAATGGGCAGTCACTGTGATTTTATTAGCAAAAAAATTTGAATACAGGCCTACTGGCTACAACAAAACTGAACAGCATTTAATGATAATTCATGGAAATCAGCAAATTCAATTTTTTTCACATATCCTACGCCTAGGTCACAATATATTACAGGCATGACATGTATTGTTTAAAATCATCACTGATCATGACATGATTAAATCAAGCCTCAGCAGTCAATCAGCATGATCAAGCATGTCAAGGCATGTAACTTTAATCACAAAAATATGTAACATGAAAAAACACAATATTTTGTTAGGTTAGGCCTAATCATATTATTGTTGATTTCTTTCCTCCATGGGTGAAATTGAATAACATTAACAACATAAAAATGTCAATTAAAAATGTACATTTATTTACCTGTTTTCTCCTCCCTTTGAAAACAACCGCAAATGCCCCGTGGCCGATCAGATCTTTTCTGTTGTACTCAAAATCGCCAACACACTCCATCCTGTCTTCCCGGGGGGAAGAAAGCTAGGCAGTAAAGCGAGAAACGCTGGTCATAACCCGGACAAAGCAGTTTCGCGGCTCTGTCGGCGAACACAAACACCCGCCATAAACAAAGCACACACTTTTGTGCAGTTCAGAGCCTGAGCCCTTTGACATTTCTCGCAAGGAAAATTACATCATCTTTTCCCTGCCCTCCGTCGCCTTCTCCTGATCGAAGAAATCTACAACACAGTTTCAGCACCATGTTCTTATTGCCCCCATAGATGAAGTTCAGCTCAAAATTACCATGCGTTAACAAGTGTGGTATAATAATGCGGCAAATTTACATTCCAGTTCCTTTGATGACTCAAATGTGCAATAAATATGTTACACCGCGGTTTGTTATGTTCTGACAGTCTACAACATGTATCCGAAAACCGCCTGATATCACGACATCTATTCGTGCACGCATTTAATAAAGCTGTCCAGCTGATCGTGCCGAACCATTCATTTACAAAATAGGGGTGGAGTAAAATAAGTCAAAATATACCTAACTAAAATCGAATACTTTGTCAATCAAGTGGTATTTATCAATTTCTATATTAACAAAAATAAACTGTTCTTTAGAGCAAAGGATTTACTTCGATTTAATTTCCGGGTTTAACGAGAAATTACAAGTATGTTTCAGTATTTTCCCCTAGGAATAAATGGAATATTTCCTACGTATTTTGTTTTGGTCCGACCTAATAACGCCCTACATCGGCAAAAGAAGACAAGGGGCATAAAAGCGCGTCCCCAAAATTGTTCAAATGTTTACATTGTTTTAATTAGAGCCTATATGACACGTTTATAAAATTACATGCCCTTTGCCTATCTTTGAATTGCTGCTTCCTTCTCAAACTGAGCTGGGAGTGCGAAGGATGTGTCTTTGTTTTGGGCGGATCACACTTTTTTTTCTATATATCAATGCCTTCTTGCTTCATTTTCAGGGAACCCCGTTAAATGCCTAAATAGCCAGGGGAACACACTCCTATATTTACTTGGTAACATTTATTAGAAATTTTAAAAGTATTTTTAAAAAAATCAAACATTTCTTGATCTACTTCATAATGACACTAAACCAAAGGCCACTAATTATTTGAATCCCTTTGTTTTTATCAACTACATACCACCTATAATTTTCAAAAATAAAATTATTTTACCCGTTGCAATTAAAATCCTGCCTCTCTCACCTCACTCCGTTGCTGAGTTTCCCACGTGGTAGTGGACTTACGTCGTCGTTGTGGAGAATTTTTCTTAAAATTCTCCTTTTCGTTGAGGTAAACATCGCATTTGTGTCATTCCATGTGTGCATGGTATACTTTTCTCTCTGTGTTGGTTCGAGGAATATTGTCACTCATTTAATACTGGGATAAAATGGATGTTGTGGTGATGAACACACGTGGCGTTTTTCGTTGAGTCTTTCCATATGCCCATACGTACGAGTACATGTACATGTAGTCATGTCTGTAGGACGGGTCGATTTGGCAAAACTGACATTGTGGCAGCGACAACTTGGACATGTTGGACAAATGAGAAAAGGGGATTTTGCACCTTATTTTTCTTTCTAAAGTTGACTGCCGCACGGATTGGTAATTCTTTTGTCTTAAGTTTTGCTATTTTTGTCATGTTCGTTTGGCCTACTTTGGAAACTGGCTTTTCCAAACGTACAGTATTTCTTCATGTCGTCGTATACGACCTTGTGTCCCATTGGCAGGCCTGTTGGCAAGCGTTGCATTTAGTTGTGCAAATCAAAATGTAACATTGCACGTCTGTTGTGGGCTCTTGGCTTCAACAATACTTCACAGGCTCATCTACAATAAGTCGCAAATTGTGAAAAAATAGGAAAAAGTGTGTCAGTGAAACATAACTCATCTGTTGCCATGTATGTAGACCCTAATAGTTTGTACAGTAGGCATGGTAGGGGGCCTTGTAAGTCACTAACTTTTAGATTTTAAACTTGCGGTAACATGGTTAGAACATTTGGAGTGTCAGTGTTTGCATTGTAAGTGCGTACAAACCAGTGTTTGTTTTGCATTGTGCTGACTGATCTATTGCATAGCCAAATCTTCCTCCATTTGTGTCCATTATGTCTTGAAAACAAATGCTTTTGTGCAGGCTTTGCATACTGGCTGACTGCAATACATGTACATGTAGTTGCAGATCACAGTTTGGAATTGCGCCATGTATACGATCTCTTGCTGGGCATGTGTGGTTCCGTGATAATGAGGAAGCCATGATAGAGTCTTTGAGAAGACTGACAACCATCCTTAGTCTTTTAGTATTCATCATCCATTTAATTGAACAGCAAGAAAGATGAAATTTACTGCTGGGGCCTGGGAGAAGCTTATGAAATCACTTTCACGACTTCCTCAACGTGTCGTATTTGCTGACTGTTAAATTAATATATATATTTAAAAAGTAGGGAAATGAAACCATGCTTTCTCTGCTTATAACCAGTTTACAACAGATTACGGTACCAACTTTGGAAATAAAAATTTTAAAAGGGCATACATGTAGTTGTCTCACTTATGGTAGGAAAAATGTCAAACATGAGCCAGCGCAAAACCTTTTTTCACCAATTTCAGAAATGCTCATTGTGTATTAATGACACGCAAGTGACTCCGAAACATTGAGAGAAGAGCGCAAACAAACTCGGCTGCTTGGTAGTACAGTGGTTAATGTAACCCATGGCGCAGCAAAAACCTCGTCCTCTTCATTGATTTTGTTCGTTGTGTCAAGTTCATTTTGTCTATATTCATTGCATTTTAGAATGAAGTGAAACATGCCCCGGTCTAATATAATTTTTTTTCATATGAACTAAATGAACCTGGTGTCACTGGAGACCTCCCAACCCTCCTGATTTTGGCAGAAAAATTTCTGCTTTTCCACTTCGTTTCCACCATTCCGATTTCGCCCCAAAATTTCCACCAAATTGTAATTTTACCACGCCTACGCATTACCGGAAACTGCCCGTGTAATCTTGAGCATGTACCGTAATACGACTTATCTGACTCACCCGAACAGTCAGTGCAGTGCACATTGTGTGAACCTCGTCAGTGGCAGTATCCTCTTTTGACGCATACCAACCGCGAGATGGATGTGATACTGAAATTGTTCATGGATGAAAACGCCCTCTTTTGACAAGCTACATTGTAACTAACACCATATGTGTCATACGACACCCGGTTTGGCTTCGGACCGCAACTAAGAACGTTTGGATCTGAGAGTAAGCACTGCTGTGAAATTGACCACGATCATGTCAAGTGTGGAAGCACCATGCAGTGAATTTTTTTGCTGAATTTCAGAGGACTGAGGATGAATGCATTTTTTGAAGTATAGAAATTTGATGATTTTAAAGGATTGCAGATGATGCCAAGCAATTTGGACTTAGGGGGTTAAGGTTAAAAAATCAGTGTGCGATTTCATTTTTAGTTTTAACTGGAAGGCCCATCTGCAATTCTGTAGTCCTGTTAATTTGTGACTTGTTCTGTGGAAATGAGTCACGAATTACATGTATTGACACAGCCACTTTTGAGTTACAAGCCTTATAGCTATCACTAACAGTTCCAAATTCTCCGATTTCAATATGAATTTACTTACACCCCAGGGGTAGAGTTGTGTACTTGAAAAGTCAGCAGAAACCGTCAACATTTCACCTACAGCAATGTCCATTTTCATCAGGATACCAAAATGACGATGCATCAAAACAATCTTTGCTTGTAATGGGTCACATTTATCATCAATCTGTTTCGCTAAAATGTGCAGCCAATCTCCTGTGCAGTGTTACCCTGAAACCAGGTAACATGTACATGTATATGTACATGAATGTCATTTTCAATATCAGCATGAAATTGAATTTGTTCTACAAGCACAAATGCACATTTTCCCAAACCTGACAATCGTTTTGGAAAACTTCATGGCTGAGCAAAAATAGCGCAAGACCAGTCCTAAGACCTTGACACAATGCATCCTTCAAACACAGCCACACATTTTTGCTATAAATCTCAATCTTCCAGCATTGTATTAAACAGCTCTGAAGATTGGGGAGAAGTTGGGCTGGCTGTGGTTCAAGCTGATGATAGACTGCAATGTCGGGATAAGAGCATTTTGTCCAAAAGTAAAGTGTTGGTGTGGTATGATTCTCAAATTTCCCTGCCTTTTATGAACCATTTTGACAGTCTGGTTAAAAAAATTGTTTAGATTTTGCAAAAGTCTCCAAAATTTTGAGATGCAGTTCTGTCTAGAAATCATTTGTAGCTGCTAAATTCATTGCATGCATTTTCACTGTTTCAATTAGTATGGAACTGATGTATTTATGTTTGTTCCCCTTCCAGCAGCTGTCTCTGAATGGCAATGCAGATGAGAGAGCAGGAGCACGATAGCACTAATGTTTTCCCACAATTCCGCCGAAGACCTCCTTCAAATACATGCAGTATAGTACTGAGACTATTATCTTACCGGAACATTTTGCCTGTCTACCTATTACGAAGCCAGCCAGTTCTAGACTGCAGGACATAGATGCTCAAGTTTTCCTCTGCCTTTTTTGATACTACTTAAATTATTTCCATTGGGGGTGGGAGGTTTCTTTTCAGCTTTTTGCAGTGGTACTTGCACGTGGCCTTGGATAGTGAAGCTGCATAATTTGGACACTATTCAAAAGTGTTCTTTTTTGTGTGCCATTTGGCACTGCGTGTTAGATCTTTGGATTGAGAGGGTTTTTTTTTTGGAGAGAGACAGCCATGGCACAGTTGCGTTACACAAAGTACGTCGCTGTGTGTGGCACAGCACTGACTGCTGGATTGGTGGGCCTTTATTTGTACAAGCGGAGGGCGGCAAAGAAGGAAGAAGAGCGACGAGCTAAGGGAGAGCAAGAAAGTAAAGCTGAGGAAAACATGGACTCTAACGAGTCAAAACCAGAGTCACAGAGTGAGAGGGACACTGCCCGGGACATTGACCAGCAGGTGACTGTGCCTGATGATAGCGGGATTGATGTGGAAGAGGTGGTTATGTTGAGGGAGAAGTCATTGGACCAGGAATTTCCCCAGACGGGGGACAAACAGCTCGCAGTAGTTGACGAGGTACAGGACATGTTTGAACCCCTAGATACAATCGAGAGTGCACCAACAGAAAGCAGTTGCAAGGAAGAGGTGATGCTGGTCGAGGAGCCAGTTATGCAGTCAGCACAGATGCCGGTGGAGTCTTTGCTTCCACCAAGTAGTAGTACCTTGGAAAGCAGTCCTCGAGGGTACTCGGAGGCTGGTAGTGAGGGTTCTTTGACCCTGGATTGGGCCACTGCCGTGGATCAGGTTGATGAGATGCACAAGGAAGAGTCCTTGGTGTCGCCAACTACAAGCTTGCAGAGTCATCCTGAGGGGTGAGGAACTTGTTAGTAGTTGATTAGAGTAGACATAATAACATCACCCTTTGTTTACATTGTGCTGTTTTCTTCGGCATTCTGGTTCGACACGATCCATCAAGCCCTGATAAGAAAACACATGTAAACAAAGCCAGTTCCCATTGTAATATAGCTCCATGACACCATGAGGTCTGCGTGTGTGGTGTCCAGTTTCATCCATGAAGTCAAGTACAAAACAGCTATGACATGTCTATTCTAAATGCACAGGTAAAGGCAGCAACCAGGATATTGTAAAGAACTGTGAACAGAAAGAAGAAGAAATTAACATTCACAAATGAAAATTGTGTGAAAGCACGCCACTTGTCAGTGGTACTTTCTTCAGCCCAGGACACTTACCAAAAATCTCAACATTGTGTAATTTGGTCAGCTTTTGCATAGCCCTTACCACAGGTCCTGACCCATGTGCCACAGATACTGTGGTAAAATCCTCATCCCTTAGTAAAGTAAATTTACAGGATTTTATTTCTAAAACTAAAAAAGCCAAGGCTCAGTGAACTGTGCATCTTTTGGCTAATTCTAATGCCTTGTCAAAGAGCAAAGTATGCCTGAAGCTACCAGCTACCGGTAGCTCAGGGATTGAATTAAAAACAGACTGTAATTACATTTAACGCATTTTAGGCCAATCTGAATAAAATTTATATGTACTTGCACATCAGAAATCAAACTTTGTAATAGCAGTGGTTCAGATATTAAACTATCCCAGTTGTAGCTATGAAAGAAATAGAATGGCCGTAACACTTCACTGGAATGCTACTTTTTAAAAACCACTTCAGTTCTGTAGCTGGCTCGGATCTGAGCACAGAGACCAACAGTGACAGTTCTTCCTTGGACAGTGGCAGATGCACAGGTTCAACCACCAGCACTGGTACCCTGCAGCATCCCCAGCCAGCTGTGCGGGAGATGCCGACCGTCTACCAGTTTGAGTTCCCAGCCAAGGAGTGTGGGCGGCTCATTGGGAAAGCGGTAAGTTGTGGGCTGTGAATTTTGAGAGATTGTTTCCAGGTCATGATAGTTTAGGATAAATTACTAAAAGTTTAACTCGGCAGCCTTTTCTGATTGTAGAACTTACAAAACAATGCTAAATCTAATGCAAAGTCCCATTATATCAAAACACTACATCTAACAGATTCTGCAGCATAAATCTAGATTTCAAACTTCTTATGTGAGGTTTCACTAGAATCAACAGTTTACTTCATTCCCAGAAGTGGGAGATTTGTCAATCCTGTTGCTTACACAAACCCACTTCATGCCATGCCCAACATATGAAAAGTAGGAAGTGGTGGTCTTTTGTGTTCTTTATACTAAACTTATACCTCAACCCTGTGTTGGATTTTGTGTGAAGGGGAACACATGGGTCATTCTTTGGAGCGATTGGCTAATGGTACCGTCACGTTAAACTTCGTTCACCTAGGGCTGCCTAGTTAATACATTGGATTGTATGGGATGACAGGGTAGCCATAATCAGTTCCTGTCTCCAGTGACTAGGGCTTCGAATTTTTATCAAAAGAGGCAGCAGTGGAGAGCCGAAGCTAGTTTTCGATGCTTGTACATGCCTGAAGTCTCATATGGAGATGCTGCACTGCATGTTGCCAACATAGAGTGCAACGTAAACCGTTGAAAATATATCTTGTTTGGGTTACCTGAAGATATAATCCACACATGTGTTTGCAATGGACATTAGTAATGACACACGATAAAGCCACAAGTAGAAGAGGTTTTTGAAGTGATATTTAGCCATTTCATGCAACATCGTCATTAGAGGCCAGTATCAGTGCTTGACATGTCATAAACTGATTTTTATCTACACCATTAAACCATGATAAATTCTACACTATTTGAATATCAAGTGGATTTTCGGTTATGCAATGAATCGCTGTGACAGAATGAAATCACATCAAACCAGATTTTCAAGTTGGTGAATCTGGCTTTAAAAACCTTTCTAAGCTAATGACCATCAGGATGGCTTTAAGTTTTCACATTCTTGTGAAAACCCCGGTAGCAAGAATATGTTGATTTGTTTTACTGGAAGAGATTACATAAGATCATTGACTAACAAAATCATCCATCAGACGTCTTGTTTTCATCACAAAAGTTCACTGGCATTCCAGTGTACGACCCTGAATAAGCAGCAAAACTAAGTTGGAGAAGGAAACATACGTGCCATGTGTTGGAGCGTGCCTGATTGTGTCAGGTTTTGGTATTACCACTGTGCAAGTTACCCCTGCACTGCAGAGACCCTTCCGTACCAAATAACTTAAACAGCTTCTGTCCAGTCATGTGCCAGTTATTACAGTGACCTGCTTGTACTTGCTGCACTGTCTCTAGTTTATCAGCCGGGGAGGGGGGTTCTAGTTGAAGGATTCAGGGAAGTTTCCAACAAGAATGCCTTGAGAGTGAATAAGGAATTGGTGTTGCTACCTGTTCGAATTATTATTATTTTTTTTATTACTTCTACTAGGGTAAGAACATCAAGGGGATCCGCAGCAGATCAGGTGCCAAAGTGACTCTACGTGACTGGCCCGATGAAAAGACCAAGCAAATCTGTGTCATTGAAGGTAAATATACCACTGCTTCACATCACTGATATGCAGACGGGAGAATTTTTGCAAACCACTTTCTCAGTTGGTTCACTTTGGATGTTCCACACTTTACAAACTTAAACTCTGAAGAAATTGTGTGGTGTTTTGGGGGATAAACCAATCACGCTTAGGGCCAGTAGTTTAATAATAAAGGTGCAATCCTGAATCAGAGATTTGATTTCCTTGCCTGAGGGTGAAATACAGTGTCTGTCTTGAGATACTGAAGTTCTTGCATTTTATCTCAACACAAAGTGCTTCAGATTTTTACCTTGTTCTTCGCAGGCTTTCAGAGTGAGATTGATGCAGCATTGGCGGACATCCAGAACAAGTTCCCTTTGGTGGACACCAGCAAACAGTACATCGAGATGGAGCAGGTCACGGTGCCTGCAGCTACAGTACCAGAAATGTCGCAGGTTGGCCAAAGCAAGTCCAGTCCAAGATAATGGCATATTGAAATGGTTTGATGGCTAGCCATCTAGAAACAAAAGATCCCATAGCGGTGCAAGATGGAGAACCCTGCCAAAAAAGGTGTAATCACCGTGTGTGCCGTTCAAGTAAGCAATATGTCTGCACAGTGTACGTTAATGCACAGGCTCACCAGTTGTGCGTGCCTGGCGCTGTGCGTGCACCTGTGCATTAACGTGCACTGCTCAGGCTTATTGCTTTCTCATTAATGGCGCTCAGGCAATTACGATGTTTTACACGTATTCACGGTGAAGTTCCCCATCTTGCCCCGCTATGCGCCCTACACGATCTGTGCTAGAAACCTAGGTGTGATTGTAGAAGCACAGAAAGTTAAAGGAAATAGGATAAAGTTTTTTTTTCTGTCATAAATACATGCAGTACCTTTGTCATACCCCTCTTAACCACTGACCCCTCCCAACTGAAGCGGTGGACAGATTGTTACCTGTGTACAAAACAACGACAAGCATGAGGGGGGGTTTGCAGTTGAGCTTTGTAGAGGGGATAACAGTGCCCCTTTGTGGCATCCGTCCTGAGCAGAATCACTCTCCCAATGAAGAGGCAGGCTAATAAGAAGTTTTTCAATTGGGCCCGAGTGCATGCTTAGTGCATCCATTGTCAAACAGGTGTATACCTTGGCGTTCACAAGGAGAGCCCCCACCCAGGGGATGTCATTACATGCCATCTCCTCTTCCCGTGTGGAAAGGATACTCGCCTTTCAGTTCCCAAGTTGTGTTAACTAATACTGTCCCGGAGCAATGGTGGGAACCCTATTCAGTTTCAGCCCTCTCGGAATTGTTTGTAGTTCAAGATTCCTCTTTGACCCCCCCAACAGATTCATCTGCACGAGGAGATTGTCAACGACGTCATCGTCTCCAGTGTAGTCTCGGCGGGGCACGTCTTTGTCCAGCAGCCCACCCACCCCACCTACATGGCCCTGACTAGGCTCAACACCTTCATGAATAACTGCTATAGTCAGATGGATATGACCCCGCCCCTTCCAAGGCCCATTGAAGGTGAGTTTTTGAGATTATGGGTGCAATACTAGAGTCGTTAAATACAGGCTACTCTGAAGCACTTGCCTGTATAGGTTACATGTGGTCCTCATCCTTTATTTTACCTTTTGATACCCAGGAGTGTAACTTGCCTCAGATCAGCTGATTGAATCATGTTGTACTTCTCCTGTATGGCATTACGAATGGATAACTACCCTAGAAAATGTGCAAGTGGGACTTTCCTTGTGTTTTCCCCCCAGAATTCTTAGTTACATGCACGTACCTGTGATGGGCACCTTTATACCGGACACCTTTCTACCTTTATACAAGTCATCCTTTACAATCATCCACAGGTTTTAGCCACGTAGAAGCAGTCCTTGCTAGAACATCCACTTACTTAAATGTCATGCTACAAGTCCACAGGACCCTTGAATAAGTTTGTCATTCTCCTTACTGTTGCCAAACTAGGCACAAACAAGAACAGGTGTCCTTTTGAGTAAGTGTTAGTGCTGGCTGACATTCACAAGATCATTCATTTTAACTCTCTCAGTTGGTGTAATCTGCGCTGCTCCCATGATGCAAGGCTGGTATCGTGCCCAGATAGTAGACATCTTTCCTGACACGGATGAGGTGGATCTCAAGTTCCTGGACTTCGGTGGCTATGCTCGGATTGAGAGCTACGTCCTGAAGCAGATCCGGACGGACTTCATGTCGCTACCCTTCCAAGCCAATGAGTGCTATCTGTCCAACATTGCTCCTTTGGCTGGTAAGTGAAGTGGTCAGAACTGAGTGTGACTTTTGAGCCTTTGTGTAATCTAGAATGTTTGTTTCTGGTTCCTTCTCTGGTGATATTTCGGGCCCTGACTGCACTGAGCTCTGCTTTGATCATGATCTCTCTTTCTGGTGTTGAGCCAAGCATGGTTGGCTGCCAGTATACAATGAGCCATGCCAGTACTTCACTTGCTGATGTTGAAGTTTTGCTGATGTTTGAGTAACATGTGACGGTATAGTCACCAGGTCCCTAATTTCGCCACCTATTGTCAAGTCTCAGTGGTTTTCACAGTAAGTGGTGAAATGGCGGACCTGGTGACTTTACCGTCATGGACTTCAGAGAGAAGGAATGGGAATTCATTTAGATTCCTGCCTGATTCCAATGCATTTCCCCTTTGGATTCTTCCAAATATCAATGAGCATCATTGCCTGATCTTACAGGATCATTGGCCACGTTCAGTGTAGTGATAAAAATTGGCTCTGCAGAATCCTCAACTTGACTCCGAGGAGCAAGATATAGTAATTGTCCAGAAGTGGCAATGTGCCCCAAGTTCAGACTTGTCAAAACTCAGGATCGACTGAACTTTGATAACTGCAATTTCCCCCTCCCCCAGGAGAAGAAGACTTCTCTGAGGTAGCGAGGCTGTTTGTGGAGCAGGTTGCCCAGAACTTCAACATCTTACAAGCTCAGGTCACAGGCTACTGTGAAGATGGAATGCCATTCATTGAGCTTTTCTACACAGATAGTGAGAGGAAGGTATGAATTTTGTCCTTTTCTTATAGTTTGGCCCGATACCTTTCCAGTGTTCTAAATTTTAAATGTGATGGGGAGTGCTAAAAGTATTTAAAGAGGGAGGAATAGCAAGTGGTTCAGGGGCCCTTTTCATGTGTCCCCTTTCCAATTTGGAGTACATACATGTATATGTAATGCATTTCTGGGCATATTACAGGTGGAGCGTTTCCTGGAAAAATTGGAAACAATTTTTTGGGACATTCTTTGACAGCTGTTTTTGTCAAGATAATGTGTGAGATGAAGTATTCCAGAATAGAAATGTTGCACCCAAAAATTTTAAACTTGACAGCCAGAGTTTGAAAGCTTGGTGGCTCCTTTTTTAAACATGGTAAGAGTCAAGCAGAACTTAATGGACTGGCAGTCAACTTGTCTTAGGGTGTTTTTGATTAGCGTCTAAGAGTTACAGGGGTTCAACCTCATCCCTACCAGTCTGCTGATTGATACAGTACACACGGCCATCCCCTAACGCACCCTAGGCTGGAGAACACTGCCTGTCCTATTCCAGCCCATTTGTTACTGTATGATATGCTTCTCTTGGGAGCGTTAGTGTGATCTGCAGTTGGGGAAGTAATAACTTTGCGCTACTTTACGTGATAATCATTTTGCGAGAGCTGTAATCTGGAACTACTTGTTCTGCCACTTTTTTTCACTGTGTACGAGAAATACCAGGAGCTAGCCTCACATAATCACAGCCATGTGGCGTTAAGCTATTGAAAGTCAAGAACAGTTTTTTAATGTTGTCATTATCACAACTCTTCTTGATCTTTTGTGGGTTTCTCTTTATTTCCCAATAGTGACTTTTTTTTTGATGGGAACATTAACCATTTCCTGCCGGGTGCTTTTAACCACTTGCTGCCGAGGCAGTTGTCACTGTTGATGATGCTGGTCCGGGATAATTATCATTTTTTGTGTTTTCAAAATTCTTTAAAAATTGCTATCTTCATTTACTGGACACTTACAAACACATGAAGGACTGTCTGGTGTCCACTCTAGCCCGACAGACAACATCTATTGATGCTGGAGTATTTCAACTAGGCCTGCCGCCTTGTAAAAAGAGCCCAGATTGGTATGGCTCTTTTGTCCGATTTTGGGCACCCCGGCTATGTGTACAAACTCCAGGTACCCAAAACCGGGCTCCCCGGCAGGATATGGTTGCCGGGGAGCCTAGTTTTCGGGAACAAAAGAAACTCATGTAACACCGCACAATCTGGCCTCTTTTACAAGGCAGAAAGCCTGGCTGAAAAACTCTAGCATCAATAGATTTTGCCTGTCCGATTAGAGTAACCACCAGACAAACACTCCATGGGGTTTAGGCATTCAGGAAGAGAGGTAAGAATTTTTGAAGATTTGGAAAACCGAAAAGATTGAAAAATCGCCTGTATGTAAACACTGCATTTCTAAAAGCCCCAGGCAAGAAATGGGTAAGGGCCTCAAAAATGCAGGTCGTACTTATTGATGTAGGTTGGTACCGGCCATTGAGTTGTTTCACAATCACCGGAATGATTTCTATCTGCAGGTTCAGTCTCTGAACAAGGAGTTGGTCAACCAGGGGCTGGTTACGTGGTACGAGGAGGGCATGGAGGAATCACTGACTGACACCAGCCTGCTGTCAGAGGTAGAGCCAACTTCCCAGTAAAGATCAGCTTGGTAGAACAGTAACCACAATGAGGGCCGGTGTGAGGATCAGAATCCACTTGTTATTGCCTTGGCTCATACAAGCCAAGGGAACATCTCAAAGAGTTAACCATTACCGACACATTTAAGTTTGTGGAATGTGAATGTAGTACATTAAGTGTTGAAATACATTGATTCGTGCATCACCTTACCCAGACACATCACTCATATCTGTCTCTTTGAAGTTACAGAATTGGACTTTAAGTATCTTGACATTAGAATCTAGCGTACAGTTCCTGTGCATCTTTCTGCTCAAGGGTTCAAACTCCTAACCACATTCTGATAAACTAAGATCTCATTTTTGGTTATTGCTTTAAACGTAACAAGTCTGCATATCTTTTGTGAGCAAGGCCTATCTGCCTCAGATTCTTTAATTTCCCTCCCCCCAAGTTAGGTTTTTGTTGTGCCATATAATTCAAAAGCATTTCTGTGACTTGAAAATTTGTCAGTGATGTAGAAGTAAAGTTATCAAAAGTGCAGCTTTGTTCAAAAGAAATTAGATTTAGGTAATTTTTCAATTTAGTGATGTGTAAATAAAATATCACAACTTCCAGTCAACAGCTTTTTTGTAAATACTCTTTGTTAACCTCTTTTGCCATTTTTTTCAAAAATTCAAACGGTGGTTGGTTTATCCAGGAAGTCTGTTGTGGCTGTTTAAGTATTAGTTTCTCTTGATTTGGGATAATTGCGTGTTACATGTGTAGTCTAAGAAAAAAAAGTTCTCATTCAGTAGACATCCTTTGAATACATTTCAATTGCAGTAATTGGAAAAGACAGAAGAAAACACACATACTGTTTACTGGAAAGAAAGTGCCTCATAACATTGGTTAGCATCTGAATTCTTGAGACACTGAAACTTCTTTTGCTGTTCATCTTGAGAGGGCGTTACCGGACATTAGGGCTATCTGTTGCCTCTTACAATAACGACTGAAGAATACCCCGTTTGTGAAATCTACACACTCTGCATAATCAAAATTGAGTGTTGTTGACATGAAGAGAAAGGTTGTCTTGCCTTACCACACTGACGGCTATTTTATGTTTCAATTATGTAGTTAGAAATGTTACATAAAAGAGCTGTTTATTTTCCCCAGCTTTTATTTTCCCTTTTAAAGGTTGAAGTATTCAGTGTGGGGATAGGCACCGTTAAAACCAAGGCAAGAGAGTAATTAGAAGACTGGTAGATTTTTTTTCGGAGATAGCACAAATGCAGCTAGAAGCGTGATGTAAGGTTCAGTCCTAGGACTTGGCCTAATGCCGTGGCAGTCCTGTTTGTTTTCAAGGAATTGGAGGAAGAAATCGTATACCTAATGGGTGTTTATAGAACCTTGGCTTCAGTGGAGTTTTTGGTTATTAGAAGCCTGTTATTGTTAAAATCGCGCAAGTCAGACATGTAGATGTACTTTATATGAAGGCATTTGATGTACTGGTGACAGAAAAAGCAAGGTGCTCGTATCATAAAGCTTGAACCTTGAAACTTCAGTGGAGGAAAAGGTTTTGTAAACTCTCAAATATTTGTATTTGCTTAAGTAGAGGAAATTGCGAAGTGTGACGGTGCCAGACTTAATGCTGCTTAGAATTACTAAAATGTGTCTTCAATTCGGTGAATCCCCGAGTAAATTTTTGATACACCAAATTCCTTTTGATCAAGAGTGCTGCTGGAATGTACTTTTTGGCACACAGAGGACGGTATGGAGAATAAGCCATATAGGTGAAGTCTTGATTGAATTTCACAATTTTTACTGTCCCTGAAAACTTCCAAACTGTCTTTGTAAACTTCAATTCAGCCATGGCAAAATACTTTGGTTTCAAAGTATTTTTCCATCATGTTTCCCCAACAAACTATGAAGAATGAAATATTGTTGGCAGAATGTCGTAACTGATCCTCTGCATGTACAAATGTAGAAGTGATATTTAAGGGGGGGCATTTACCTCCATATAATTTAGTATTTTATTTTTCAAAGAATGGAATCAGCCGGTTTCATGTGGTGATCATGTTTGTAAAAAAATCGATGCCCCTTTTTGCAAGGGTACTAAACTTGTAATAAAATTTAGTGTTGGACACTAAATGAAAAAAAGTATGTCAGAGAATAATCCCCAGATACGGAACTTCTGATGCGCCAGCCAGCACTTAGAACGATTAATGATTGAATGCAACACTAGATAGAGCCATGTGTTACAGTATGTACCAGGTTTATTTCTGTATAAATCTTCAATAAATGCAAGTGGCTTCAATAGCAAAGGGAGGATTATTTGATGCCTGTCATCTGATTTCTCAATTGCAATGCTATGACAGGCAGACACGAGTGAATCCAGGATCTGGGGGGGGGTTACCCCAAAATTGGAAAATTCTATTTGTAACTGTTTTGCCTTTATGAGAGTTGATGCTGAATTTTGGCGCAGTTTATACGCATTCGGAATGAAAGAGTTAAAGGCAATGAAAACGTCTCTCAAAAATTGCCCTTTAGTTATTCCCTGCCCCATCTGCCTTTGACTGGACACAAGTACCAGTCGTTTGGCATGTTGGCTGGCTGTTGACCGTGTCACGTGGGCGTGCACGCAAGCGAAACTAGCCACACCGTGTGTGTGCAGAGTATGGTGTGCGTAATTGTGTTCCCCTTGGCCTATGTGGTGTCTGCATTTTCTGTCATCTGTTGCAATCCATCTTCCTCCACACCACTCAGATTTATGCTAGTGTGGGCGTACATTAAGGTGAAGAGTGCCAAGGGAAAACTTGTTTTCACAGTCATTTGGAAAGCTTGTGTTGTACTGGAGGACTTCGTGATAGACTTTCAGGCTTCGTGGCTTGTCGAGAATTGTGATGGACATCCATGGAGGCAGTACACATCACCAAGTTACCAGTGGAAGTTTTCGCTTGTCACCCGGTACCCAGCGCCGGAATAGGGCGCTGGGCTTGGGAAGGGCTGATGGCCTTGTACAGATTTTAGGGTGCAGTCCACTGATTCAAGCAATAATTTCCGCCAAGCTCATTAGCATTAAAAGTCCCCCCTCCCACAGTATCTTTTGAAAAAGGGGTTTGTTTGGCCCTCAAAATGGTGAGATTGTGTAAATCGTTGCCAGGATCAAGTTCCTGGTCCCTTGGACTTCCATCTGAGGGCAGAAGGGAAAAAAATACGGTTGCAAAATGTTCCCAAATGCCCAAGAAAATAGAGGGTTGCCATTTAAAAAATGGCTGCGTGCTGACTTCGGAAATTCGACTTTTGGAGGTTGGTTTTGTTTTGGGGTGAATGATTAAAAATGTTCTAAGTTAACCCCCTGAAAATCGAAAAGAAATTGAAAGGTCAGTGACCGAATAATAAGTAAATTTTTGCGTGAGACACCCCTGGGATGTTGGCTTGCATGTTATTGAGCTCTGAACAATGTTGATTTTACACTGTTTTCAATGAGGCCTGAATTAGTGAACTGTACTCTCAGTATAGTGAAGGAAACACGGCTAAAGACGGGCAGAGCATTGAAGGTAAATTTGTGCCAGGCGCGCGTGCCCGCTCAATGCATTACAAAGGCGGTGGTTTGTTAATTCGTTTTTTCTTCCTCATTGCTTGAAAATAGTCTCACTGCACTTTATTTGTTCATCCAAAATTGATCAAAATAACCATTGATTTGAAATATATCGCAAAAAGACACATGATCAGTGATACTTTGAAGATTACCACACTGCTGCGAATGTTCCAAGGCCATTTTAAAAAAAATCATAGCCGACACTTTACCCGAGCCAAAGCATTGTCATTGGCGACCCCCCCCCCCACCATGTAAATAACGGTTCGCTACATCCCGTTATAACGGGATGTGATAACGTTGCGGTCACAAGTCGTTCACAATGTAGCCAATCGCAGGACGACCGAAGCGAAAGTTGGCTTTGTGCACTAACGCAGGAGGGCGCTATGATAACACGGTCAGGCGCCTGAAAATGTGAACAAAAAACTGCCAAGCAGAGGGACGAGGACCCTCCACGCCCCCCCAAAATTAAGAGTCTCGCAGTCCTAACAGGCCAGCTAACGCCTGTAATGATTCCCTCAAATGGAGTTGCCGAGCAGAAGGCACTATTCTTTAATGTTGCGGAAAACTTGTATTTATGTATGGTTGGTTGAACCGTAGGGGAAGGACACACAGAGAGAGTTGCAACATAACCAACCTCATGACGGTGAATTATGCGTCAGTGCACATAGACAATAGAAAAAAGCTTCATGCTGTACTGTATACAAGTTTGCGCTACTCTCCCTATACCGGCTGTACATGGTCGAACAGATTCTACAGCGCCTCAACTTACTACTACTAGCAGCAGACTCAGAATGTGTTCAAAGGTCGAAATTCTCTCATTCTCACTCTCCTGCAGTACTCATGATGGGGGAACAGACGAATTTAAAGCATTTCCAGTGCATTATATTAAGCACGAGCGTCGCTTATTGTATAGGTGTATAAGTTCTTGGTGCACCTGTCAATCAAGTCATCAGTGAGTCAGTCATTCACCTGTCTTATGAACTCAGTTGACCTTTCAACCGCGCTATTTGCGCAATGACTCAGAGGGTTGCTACTGCGCATTTTATTTTCACGTTGATTTCTAGTCTGCATGCAGTAAGCCTACACTGTACTACCAGGAAATCAGCGGAGTATGATTACGAGGAATTCCGCACGCGGAAGCGGAAAAGACGTCGCTTTAAATTAAAAAAAAAATCCCATTCTCCCTCAGAGCATTTGTAGTTTTTCAACAGAACTTGAGTTGTGACAGCGTCGGTAATCATGCTGTACGCATTGATCGGTTGATAAGTGTGTCAAGAAAAGGCAGAAATGAATGGGACCATGGAGCATCACGACAACGATCGAGTGACCGACATCAATGAGTTCTGCGAAGTGGAAGCGCAGAAGGCAGCGGCGACTTTCGCCGTGGCTTACCACCAGTTCATCACTGAGAATCCACCGATGGATGGCGTGCCCGTGGACGAGAGCAGGTTTGCACGGCGATTTGCCGATCACTTCCTGGACCACTTCGAGACTGAGGTCCGCCGGGCCTATAACACCGTCAGCCCGGCCGAGCTAAAGGAGGATCGGCGGAACGCCAACGACGGCGACCCGACCGGCAGCAGCCCCGCCAGCCCCACGGACTCGGAGGGCAACGCCAACGTGAATACCAGGCTCTTGTCGGACTCTGGACCGCCTGGAAGTAGGAACGGTACCACAGCTATGTTCAACGGGGACCCTGTTGTCAACAGCCGCTACTCCAGCAACTCAAGCCTTGATGGCAACCACAGCAGCAGAAACATTAACTCTGTCCATCATGTTAAAAACGAGGTCAGCAGACTCCCCAGGAAATTTTCTTTCCGAAACATGACAGAGAATGTTATCAATCGCTTTCGAAAGGCTCACCATAGCTCCAACCAGGGCCGGGATCGAGGGATAAAGTATAACCCAGAAGACGTTGTCAGAGAAGGAATTGTGAATTTTCTGACAGGGGAGGACTTACAAGGAAGACAGAAGTGGGAACGAAGTCGACTAGTTCTTGTCAAACGGCTTGAGGGGCACATGCTGGATTTTTATACCCCGCCCAAGGTAGGGATCACACTGTCTTGAAGTTGTAAGACAATAAATACCATTATTGTGGCATTAATGTCATTGTGTGCCATACCATTTCGCATGATCCGCTGATCTGAATGATCAGTTGATTGCGCTGCATTATTGCTTGATAGCAGTAGTGTAATCAACAAAGACATGGGAGGCATGGGTTCCCATTGCCTAAGACCTGTAACCCCTCCCTCCCAAGTACCACTTCCCAACCCACCATGAAATCAAATAAGGCAAAAATCTGGTGAGAGTCCCCTGTAGTCAGTGTTTTACCTTTCACTGCATGAAAAAGAGACCTGTACAGTAGTTCAGAGCCTTTTGTACCCCCTCGAGAAAATGAGAGCCCCCTAAGTGCCCCCCTGTAAACTTTGACTTTTGTTTTAGCCCTTATAATCATTCATGAATTTCCAATTGTCATTGGTACTGAGGCAGATGTATTTTCCATTTTATTTCATACTCCCATTCAAGCCACCCCCTTCTGACAAAGTGTTGCTTTATTGATGTGGGACGAAAATATTCACAAACTTCGAAGTCTAAAGCTTGGCAGAGAAGTAAAATTCAGAGAATTCCTTCCAACAATACCACTTTTTGTCCTGGACCATGCTTTTACTTATTTATGAATATTAATGTTCTAGTATTGTTCAATCAAAATTACGATTTGCAGGTCATTCATCCCGCTTTGACCTGTCACATTCATTTTTAGCCTGTAGAGTGACTGGTGCCCTCAAAAAAGGCAATTAAGGGTGATTTGTTCTTACAAATATTTGAAAATGTATTTGAAAATGTTTCTTGTAGAATCTGATTATACACATGCATCTGTGAGTTGATGAACAGATATATAAAAAATATTCAGTAGAAAACTGTAACTTAATTTTTGACTGGTTCACTTCCCCCATAGGGTTGTGCATAAAATGCCATCCCCACCCGTAATGCATTGTGAACGTCGAAAAGGTTTATTGAAGGCTGAAACAGTCGGTGGACTTAGTTCATCTTTCAACAGTAAATTAGTGGGGGGTGGTTTGATGTTGAATGAATTAAGGAAAATCAGTTTTAAATGGGCAAATTTTGTTTTTTCGTTGTTCCCACCACTCTTCCCATAGTGCTCTGTTGTTTAGAAATCAGTTGAAGCATTTAATTCCAATATCTGTGACAATATCTGTACTTGTGATGGCAGACTCTTACAAGGTATTGAAGACTGTAGGGTGGGTAAAACTTGGCACCAGGGGTCTCCATTTGTTGTCTTCTTCCATCAGGAACAACAGATTTGTTTGTTTTTAAACCATGCATAAACCAAAAAGCTAGAACCTTGTACTCGCACGTGTGAGCTTCCTTCGTCAAGTGCTCAGTGCCAACAGGTGTTGATCGCAGTTGTTGAACTTGTGACCAGGACTCAACCTCACTTGCATCTCCTGCATCTTTAAGATACTGGTAGATCAGACGCTTTGTTGAATTGTGCAGTGACCTTGCATGCATTCACTTGTGAAGTTCATGACTAAGAAGCAGTTTCATGACAGCTTAATCTGTCTTTGTGACTTGTGTTTCCGGTCAATCCCTCACTCCCCCTGGTTTCCGGTTTCCACCAACTTTACGATGCTTTTCACTAAATCTTTGTTCATCATGCTTAAGTGCATATGTCTCCTTAATCAAAGAGAGGGTGTCTTGACTTAAAGTATTACACTATATACCAGTATGTTTAATGCTCGCGTAACACACATTTCTGATAATAACTGAAAGTTTGGCCCAACCCTGTACAACTAGCAAAATGCCTACACTTGTGACACATTCTGATGCTGCAGTCCAAGCCAGGCAATTATAATGAAACAGAACCATGCATCCAAAGCCGGGTTTCTTGTGTAATGCCGTGCAAGCACTGAATAGAGATTCCTGATTTGAATCAGGTACCCTACATTTTCTGCTGATTCTGTTTGATTGAGCAGGGTTCCCACCGAGGTGAATTGCTGAATGTACTTGGCATTGCAACCATGCAAAAGAAAAAAACCCTGTGAATCTAATAAGCATCAGACATGTACAGTGTACGTGTTCATGTATATCATTTATGCATGCTTTGACTGGTAGGACCAGGCAGAGTTTTATCCAGTTTGATTGGCAAATTAGCCAGGTGAGCATATAGGCTTACTGTATTCATCAGAAAACAAGGAAAACCTTAAGAAGAAAAAATTGAACGAGTTGATGCAGGAGTTACATACATGTACATACAATATATATCATCAAACAAATGGCATCGTGTTTCTGGTTTTGAGTTCGAAATTGACCCAATTCAAAGTGAAGTGTTGGCAGTTAAATTATAGAAAGCTTTTTTCCCAGTCCCAAGCTCAGAAAAAGGATTCCCTTGATTTTGAAATTGGAAAATCCAGCAATGTTTCACTTGACGTCAATGATGGTTCTGTGTCATGGTGGAAAGCACAGTTGTTGGTTTTTGCACGGAGCAATTGTCACAGAACAGTGGCCCCCGTACTTTGCTTACTACCATAGGTTTGGGCCACTGTAAGTGTCCAGTGATACATGTGTAGCATCATCACCATGGTGACTGGATTTGTCTATGGGAAGCCAGAATACGTAAGTGATTCACACTACAGCACGCCACCAAGAGTTTGCCAAAGACAGCCCACTTTTCAAGTTTACAGTTGACACGCTGCCGTGATCAAGCGCACTTCTAACGTAATCTAGGGATATTTGATTGATTGAGGCATTCCTTGCACCACACAAAACCATCATTTTGACTAGTTACCATACCTAACACCCATTCGCAATGAGCAATTTTGAATTTTCAACCAAGATAAACAAACATTTGCAAAAAATTCAAGTTATCAATGCGCAGTATCGACTATTTATTCCACAATGCACTGCGAAAAGGCCTCTCCATGACAGCTTCTTGCTGGCGCACTGCATTGTGAATCGTCTGTAATGGAGTTAAAGGGAAAAATATCAATTGAAATATCTGCATAGTCTTTCTGTTCATTCACCAAGTTAGAAATTGATGCCTTTTTGTATCCAAGAACCCAGCTGAAATTAAAATGTCTGTGTGTGAGGGAAAACGGTCATTAGATAATCTTGTGTACAGTGTGTCTGTATGAAAAAATTTGGTACTGATGCATTTTAACTCAGTCGAGAAGCTCATTTCTGCATAAATTTGAATTACAGGATACTCTTCACACATGGATACGTGTACATACCGGTACATGTACATGTACATGTACATGGTTGTATGCATGTACACGTATACCAAAAAGATGGAATTACATGTACATTACAAGTTTTTAAAATTCTTTTAAAGATTGTAAAAATCTGTGGCATGGAAATGGTTTAAATTAAATGGCAAATATTGTTATATCTGATAAAACTGTTTAAAGGTGCTACTCTGTGCATCATTTAGTTTACAAGAATGATACAGCAGAATTTTTTTTCAGCTTGCAAAACAATCATAATTTGGTTTAGCAGCTGTTTTGCTTTTAAATAAAAGTCGGCCCTCAGCAACAAAGTTGTACCTACACTATCATGTACAGTACATGTACATGAGGAACATGTGAATAAGATTTCAGTTACCTCCGTCAAGTAAAAATGTGAAAAAATTGTTGTAAAATACTAGTTCATTCCGGTACATGTGCATTTTTGCCTATAAATGGTGGATACCGCAGTGTCCTACAATATCAGTCACATCAATTGCCAGCATATCAGAACAAAGTTCTGCAAGGTTGATGCTACCGTGCCCATCACACTTACATGACATGTTTGAGACTGCAGAGCACTCATGTACAGGCTATAGGCTTAGGAATTGTATCCTGTTTTAGAAAAAGAGTTTACTGCAAATAGGATCAAGGGTTGTAAGAAATCTGAATAGTGAAAGATGTCAAACATGGAACTATTACGTAAGTCCCTGTATTGGACCCTGGCAAGGTGAGGTGTCAGTGACTTGGCCCCCTTCGGGTTTTCTTCATGGTCTGCTGGGTTGGATTACGCCCAGACAGTGATTAAGTTGGAGGCTACATGTATGCATTTTAACCAGCAAGGCCTGTTTTTTATGACATAACCTCTTGAGGAAGAACCAGGCCCCTGGATGGACACAATGCTCTATATATAACAGTTGGGCTATCTAGACATGATAAATCTTCTCTTTGACTACTGCCAATAAATTTCTTGAGGACAAAAGGAGAAAGACTTCAGGATCTTTTTTGTGAAGCGATCTCTCGAGACCAGTGTACATTTTTGCAAGTTTTGCTGCATCTTCTGAAGATTGCCTAACAATACAGTGCATAGTGAATTCTTGAACTTTGAAATTGTGAAATCTCAGGTTTTTGCTGTTTGTGAATGATTAAAGTTTCTTGTGACCCTCTTTAGTGTTTTTCCCTCCCCAAAGCTTTGGAGATGTTGGTCTTGTCTCATTTCAGGCTCTATGATCCAAGTACCCAAGGTCTGTGGCTACCAGAAGTGGCCCTATGCTGCACTTTCCCCCTTAATAAGATCTCCATAATTGGTTTGAAGGACATTGTTTGTAGGTTTACATACACTATGTGCATGTACATGTAGGCCCCTACTGTACATAACAAACAGAAAGCACACATACATGTACATACAGGTATGAAGTTTGAAACTTTGATTGCTCACAATGAAAAAGTTGGCAGTTGCAGTGGCCTTGCACAGTAGCGAGGCGTCTGCACTATTGAAAGAACAAAATATGTCTGCAGACATGCAGTTTTTCCTGGTGCCAGCAGTGTAGCCACTAACTCCAATCTTCCTGCCCTTCCCCACCCTCTTCCCCTACCCTCTTTCCTTCTGTCCCTGATCGCCCTTACCTCAGTGAAATTGATGTAAATACTTGCACAGGTGATTACCTTTTTTCTTTCAGAACCTGGAAGCTTGCATAAATTCTAAACGTACCAACGTAGCCAGAAATTACTCGACCTGGACTTGAATTTGTGACACCAATTCAAAAAGTAACTTTGCAATGTAGGCAAATTTAGCTTTGCAAA